TATCCTAGGGGAACCGGATCGCCGTTAGGATTGATAAAATACGAGATATCTCGGACGCGCTAGGAAAAATCCTAGGGTAATCCTATCTGATTAAAATCGCAGAAATCGCCCTTCTGAACAGCCGTGAGAACAAGCATATACCAGTACAGAGACTTTATTTAGTATTTACTCGGCTGGTGGCAATGTAACACGCAACCACTTCATCAAGTCCCTAGCGGCCAGTGCAGTGCAGACGGGGAATTTATCATTTCTCGGAGAGTACCTGCTGATACAGTCCACAGATATATCGATTCCGAAGATTGGGCGACATCTGTCCGACTCAGAAAATAGGTTATTCGAACAATAGTTTATATCGGATCCTACCGTGCGATTTTCTTGAAACTTTCCATAAAGTATGGTGGTTATAGGACGGATAATCTGTGTAAGTTTAAGCGAGTTTCTATGTGCCAAATTTGAGATATTACCTTTTTAAATATATATTACCTTAAACACACAAAATATCTCCAATTCGGTGGTTTGCAGTGGTTCCGAGGCATATATCTGGATATCCAACAAAACGATTTTCTTGAAACTTTTTAGATAGTAAGATACTTTTAAGACAAATAATTTGTGCAAGTTTGGGTGAATTTCTATGTGCCAAATTTGAGATATCACTTCAAACACAAGAAATTAGTGCTGTCAGACAGATTTCGCTGTCGGACAGTGCCCCCTTAAGCAGAATTTTTCTGGCTTCATTGGACAAGGTTATTTTATTTTATTTTTAAAAAGAGGGGCTTGGCCAAGTTAGCCCACGAGAGGATAGCATTGAGATTTGAGATGCTCTGCCTACCTCTGGGGTGTGGCAACCCACGGGAAGGTTGCCGGTGAAATCAGAGTGAATGGTGGAGGATGGTGTAAAAAGTGACATGAGTCAAAATGATATTCTTAAGTGCCAGCCGGGTTTGGAAAAGTAAAAAGAGACGAGACAGACCCCGGTCTGATCCAGCTCTTCCGGCACAATTAAGCAAAATATCTATAATAAAGCTATAAGATAAAGGCACCAGACAATGAAGTTATTATGTTATTCATTGACATTAGCTTCCTTATATCATATCAACGTATTTTATTTTATCAAAGTTTCGTTAGGTAATTCTAGTACCGTTCATAAGATATTAGTAAATAAGTAAAAGCCAAAAAACTAAGACTGTCAAGATCATAAAACTGTTTTCTTGGAATTAGAGTAAGCGTAATATATTATGTAGTAATGAACGATCCACATATATCGGCAATAGGTATAAGTTTCTACCGTGTGTGATACAATTTTGAATGTCAAATAAAGTGCAATCTTACTATATATAAAGCGAGACGATATCTTACTATATATATAGCTAGTATATATAATATATGGATATATGGATCCGTGCCATTTTACTGACACCACGGCATCAACTTTAACACGACTTTCCGCAAAAACCGTAAAAGATATACAACTGAAACTTTTTTGACTGGGTCAAATGCTTTAATGGCCTTCAAATCAGCATGAAAAAATTAAAAATCGGCCAAGGAATAAGAATTTTAGTGCCAAAAATTTGGACTCCCAAGTGGTGTCAAAAACGCGAATTAAATAGGTAATAATTATTTTATTCTCTCGAGTCTTGACACCACTTTAGGGTAGACGGGTTCATGCTAATCTTACTATATATAAAGCGAGACGATATATATATATTTATCTGTGCCATTTTACTGACACCACGGCATCAACTTTAACACGACTTTCCGCAAAAACCGTAAAAGATATACGACTGAAACTTTTTTGACTGGGTCAAATGCTTTAATGGCCTTCAAATCAGCATGAAAAAATAAAAAATTGGGCAAGAAATAGGAGTTTTAGAGCCCAAAATTTGGACCCCCAAGTGGTGTCAAAAACGCGAATTAAATAGGTAATAATTATTTTAGTCTCTTGAGTCTTGACACCACTTTAGGGTTAGACGGGTTCCTGCTAGTACTTATTTATTGCGAAGTTTAAGGGAAAATATAAATCGGGGTTTGCAATAAATCGGGGTTTGCAATAAATCGGGGTTTTGTTTGTTTACATTACGTACGATACAGGGACGTAGCCAGGATTTTTCTTTGAGGGGGGCTGTCGGCGAGCGAAGCGAGCCGACGCCTCCAATCAAGCTGCGCAGCGAGCGAAGCGAGCAAGCTGTGGCAGGGGTCTGGGGGCGCAGCCCCCAGCGGGGTCCAGGGGCGGAGCCCCTTGGCGGGGGCTAGGGGGGCGCAGGCCCCCGGAAATTTTTTGCAAAACAGGGTGTTTTAGACGACATTTGGCATTAAAGAAATTTGTAGGACAGCAATAAACTGGGATTGAAAAGAATCAAGTACTCACGTAAATTTGGTAACTTCACAACAGCAATCTGCATTCTCCAATCAGAATTTACGACTTACTCAGGCCTCATCGTCTTAAGATTTTTACATTTCCTACGGTCTAGGGGACACTATTGACTATAATTATAGAAGTCTTCTAGAATGTTTGCTTGGATTTAATGGCATATATTTACTAATCCACAGTTCAAATCTTTGACTGACTGCAGTCATAAACACAGCCCAGTTACCAGGCGACCATGGGGACTAGGGGGCTTATCTTTTTTCTGGGGTTCGATTTTTTCCGGGGGGGGGGGCTGCCGCCCCCCTAGCCCCCCCTGGCTACGTGCCTGGTACGATAAGCTCCATTTGGGGAAAGAAATGGCCGCGATAAATCGAGGTTTGCAGCAAATCTGGGAGCGGTACATCGGGTTTTTATTGCACAGTATGGTGTGAGGACTGAGGATACCAATTGAGAGCTGGTATATTTCTAAAAGTAATGTAAGATTCAATTTTAACAGTATATATCCCGCAATTTCGTGCATTCTTCCACGCAGGTCGCAGAGTCCTTGCAGTATTTAAAAAATTCAACGAAACTGAGAGAGCGTTTTAGTCTTTCGAGATTAATGAAAGATACTAGAGATTTGTTAAGGCTCAACATATATAATATTTAAGTATTTAGTCATCAAATCAGAGAATACCGCTGGAATCCTTTGAAACCATTATTCTCCATCTGATTCTTACGTTAAACAATAACTGGAATGAACATTTGAACTTAAACGTTTAATGAGAATTTATATTTCCTGTTAAACATAATTGTCGGCGAGATATATTTAGTTGCTGCACTGGTTGATGTCTGGTTCGTAACAACTTTATAAGTAATTTAATATCAAATTTAACATTTTGTTCAATCTGCTCATGCATTTATCACGCAGTATTCGAGAAGTCCACGAAACTGATATATCGAAACTGATATAGCGAAAGTCGAAACTGATAGGGAAACTAGTAGAGAAACTAATAGAGAAACTAATAGAGAAACTTATAGAGCGTTTATCGCTCTTTCGAGATTTGACTTGACTGACTGACTTAAGGCGGCTTCAGCGTCCGAGTATTGATGCGCTGTCTCCATAAAACTCTATTCGCCATACAAAATTAATGAAAGAGTCTAGAGATTTGTTAAGGCTCGACACATTTGATATATTTTAGTGTAATCCAATTAGTCTAATCAAATATCACTCCTTTTTATCTTCTTCTTAAATTTAACAATAACTGAAATGAACGTTCGAACTGATATGCATGACGTACTCTATTTGTAATTTTATGTCAGACATTTTAGATAACTCGCTCCTTTACCTTTGTTGGTGAACTGCAAGCACTGCTACTTATTTCCCATTTTTCATATATGACCATTAGTGAATAGTGACTTTTGATTATGATAATATGCATTACATTAGAGATTTTAACGCCCAATAATCTTTAAATTCTATTAATGGACAATCTGCAGGTACATGATTGGTGAAAGTATCACAATTTGACCATAAGCAGGAACCCGTCTAACCCTTAAGTGGTGTCAAGACTCAAGAGACTAAATAAATTATTACCTATTTAATTCGCGTTTTTGACTCCACTTAGGGGTCCAAATTTTGGGCACTAAAATTGTTATTTCTTGGCCTATTTTTATTTTTCAGGCTGATTTGAAGGCCATTAAGACATTTGACCCAGTGAAAAAAGTTTCAGTTTTATATCTTTTACAGTTTTTGCGAAAAATCGTGTTAAAGTTGATGCCGTGGTGTCAGTAAAATGGTACGGATATATATCGTCTCGCTTTATATATAGTAAGATAGGCACTCAATACGAGAATTGAGACTTGAGAGCCTAGTTATAAAAATGTAAAATTATTTGATAATTTACTAATAGCTTTTTAAAAATAAAAAACCTCAGTGGGTCACTCCAATAACGTTATAACTTTATAAAAACGTTAAGACTAACGTAAAATTAACGTGGCCCAGGTTTAGTGACACCAAACAGACAAAGAAGCTGACTAGTTTAAATTACAGCACCAACGAAAGTTTGCAAGCTCAAATTTAGTTCAAAAATGGGCACTTTACTCGTCCAATATTAGACTTTTTATTAACTGACAAACTAATTTTCGTTACCTTGTAACTAATACTACTAACAGATCAGGTCCAATTTCAACGGATATATTAGCTAATTTCAGAAAGACTGCGATAAAATACGATGACAATTATAAAGATATCCTCGGTGACGATTGGAGTAAAGCCTTATCCGGCATTGCACAACTATTTAAACTGTGCCATGCGTGTAGGCGGGAGTACTTCCTTTTATGCTCTATCGAGCCCAATCCTTTAGTAGATTAATGACTGTGGTTCTTAAACTTTGTGACAAAGTATTGTACTTTCCTAGATTAAATCAGCAAAGAACTATTCATACTGGGGGACACAATTATAGCACAGACGCGAAAAGGTGGTTGCTAAAAGCTCGAAATTACAATGGTATCATCGAATTAAAATGTCTGAATTTAGAGGCCAGTAACAGAAGTTCTGTGGTTATTACCTAATTCCCCGTTCCCAATCCATATTCCATATGCTAATTATCCCAAATTTAATCTCCATTACTGGATTCAAATGAAAAATACTAACTTGGTCCACATAATTGAAGATTCCCTAAGATCCTCAGACCAAATCCTGGCGGTCCAATCACCAACAGTGAGGAAGTTTTTGGGAAAGAAGGGGTTTCTTTGCAATGCGTATACTGGACCATAGTGACCACTGAGGAAAGATAATTTGATAACTGATCACAGAATGGTTATGAAGTTTTAAATCTATACGATTTATCTAGTTATCTATACCGTTTCTCTATGCTATTTTTAGTTCTAACGACGTCACATGCTCAGGAATGAGAGCAAGACCACCCAATAAGATCACAACCATTCATTAATTAACTCACCTGAAATTGGCAACGATTCTGTCGGCAGGGGTTTTTGCCTTCCTGTTGCAGCTGAGCACGACACCTTGCTCTGTGCCGACCATGAACTTCGTGGGCTATTAAACGGATGCGTTAGTGGTAATTTGAGCAGACTAGCCGGGATAACCAGATAGATAACCAGCACACAAAGGATATCGAGATATTTAAGATTTAGCCGAGTTAAGTGATACGATAAACTTACCATTGTAGATTCATACTCCAAAGAGATACCACCGAGGGTAGGTTTATCGCCCTTAGCAAGGTCTAATATCAGGGTCTCTGTAGGTTCTGCCATCTTTCTGATGTCCCACCAAAGTACTTGTCCGTCAGTTGACGTGGTGAAGCATTCCGTTCCTGCAAAACACTGACGTTAATAGGGATATACTCATTGTACTGGGGTCAACTTGCATTGAAAATTCTTCTATTTCAGTATTCAGACACGACTATTTTTGGCTTATAGTGGTTTGAACTTCAAAATTGTAACTTTCTCTCGTTCAATGGGTTGTGAAGTCTCCAAGAAGTATTATTTTTGAGAAAAACTTGACTATTGTTTGTTAAAAACTGACAGTAAGACGATATTGAAGGCTTTTAAACTTTCTACAATTCCCCATATTGCTTTTTCTATATTACCCAAAGAGCAGAGCACTGTTTTCTTTCCGAAGAAAATGTTCAAATTCTTTTTAAACTTCAAGAGACCTACAACGACGAAATTTTGACCTGTCGTGTGGATATTATTCTAGATTTAAGCAGCTTATATTAGACTGTTGACATGCAATGTTGTTGCGGCTGCGCGGCTTACAGTTCCTATAGCAACTCGCGCAATTCCGAGAGGGAAAAACACTTTGACTTTACGATATTTATTCGCGTGTGCGCGTTGACATTTCATGTAGACCTTATCAGACCTACTAGCTAAGAGTAAGAGCAAAAATTTGCAAGTTTCTCAGTCACTTAAGAGGTCAATTCGACAATAATGGATCAAAATTAAATTGAACTTGGTCGACACGACTTACAGCAATTCTGTAATTCAATTGATATAAAATCTTTCCTAGTTCATGGTAATCAAAGAACAACATGATATTTGCTGCTGTAGGAAACAGCCACCATTCCAAGAGCATGGAAATAGAAGGCTCGAAGACAATTATCATTATCGCATTAAAATTATGACCAAGTGGCGAGACATCTACCAACATACTGTATAGTTCACACAACGCCAAGTTGAGATTGCACTGTTTGCGGCTTGTTGCAAATTTGCGACTGTTTAACATTTCTTAGTTTATTTGCCTCTGGTTTTTTACTAGTAATGAGTTATTAAAGAAGCTCTCGTGGTAAAAATTTCATTTTACAGCTGCTTTAAATTAATTAAACTATGAGAAAAATGTATAGATGTTGTCATCGTATACAAGACCCTGGTCATTAGGAAAGTTCGCACGAGATGGACCACGTTTTTCCCAATTTAACTTTAGAAGATTGTCACAGCAAGAACTTTTAAGATAGGCATATGATATTTCACTTGTCTATAGTTCAACTAATTGAGTTTCGATTAATAAAATTTTTGAAGCATTTAGTCGAGGGCAAATTGAGGCTAACGAGTCATTTTACATTTTGTTTTCTAATGACAGCTTCCAAGTATGCAATAAAAGTTTAAACGTGTTCAATCGATTCATCAGATCGAACTCTTTCAGAATCCGAAGAGAAGAGGGAAATTTTTTCGCTAATTGAGGGGAAAATGAGGCTAACAAGTCATTACTAAGTTATGAATTATATTTAAATAATAACGTCTATCAAAGTATCCTCTGACCTAAAATACATGAGATGGATGCTCTAGGTCGAAGGCTGGCCCAGCCATTTCCTTCTAATGGAGGGTAAAATGAGGCTAACAGATCTCTTCTAATTTTTGAATTATGTTTGAACAATAACGTCCTTTAAACTATCCTTTGCCCTGGCCCTGGTATACATTAAATGGACACTTTAGGTCGATGGTAGACTCCACCTACCCTTTCTGTCTTTTGATGGACGGTAAAATAAGGCTAACTATCAAGGTTTTGTTCATTTCTTGTTCTACTGCTTCTTCGGACTAGTAGTACAGACAAATCCGTCTAGTCTGAAAAAATCGATCTGCCGACTCAAGAAGCTTTCTAAGGACTTTGTGACGTTTTTGAGTCCAATTCGGTGCCCTTTACGACTGACCAACTTTTCCAAACTTTTCCACGTGCCTTAAGGCCACTTTTTGCCACTTTACCACTTTTTACCACCTTTCTTGTTTGTCAAATATCTTTAGTTGTGAACATCGTAGAAAATTGCAGAAGGTGTTCATATTATCAGGAAGAAAAGCTTTTGTGGAGACAATTTTTACCTCAGATAATCAATTAATTGGATAATCATCAATTAGCTAATTAGCAAAAATTAAACATTTTTTTATCGGCTCAAATGATTGGAATAGCTTAAAACACGGAGAAAAGTAGTTTTTAGAAAAACTTCGAACATTTTTCACTTACATCGTGCTAATCTGAACCGGCCTACCTGGATTACCATCTACCTCTTCTTTTCCTCAATAATTAGACCGAGTTGTGCAAGAAATGCGATTTATCATTTTAATGACGGATTTGTCTGTACTAGTAACCATGAGTCAAATAGGAAATCAGAGAATAATACTGCTGTGTAGAAGCCGTCTAGAAGCCACCATATGGCTTCTGAAAGGCCACCATATATTTGACCTCAAAGTTCTTTGTGAGTAGTAATTATCAATTTATTTCGCAACGAAACAGAGCCTTTAAATTATAACGTTCTACCTTCGATACGGTAGTGCTCGAACTTTTTGCTTTGACTAAAGATTTAAATAGTACAACGATGCGCCAAAAACTGATTTAAACTGTTCGAGTAGGATAATCTATTTCTTAGGCTAATAATCGTCGAGACCATTAAATAATTATATATTATTATAGTTTATCAGCAGTGCGCAGCTGGTAAATTTTATTTTGAAATTGACTATTTTATGAAGGAAAATAATGCTTTTTAGTAAAATCGAAAATATTAACAGTCCGGTTGCGATCATTCATCTATTACTTTATTATAGACAAAATCTGCCGGTCATAGTCCGGTATTACTGTGTAGACGTTTGTGTTTGTGGATTACTTGTGGAATATAGTATCTAAAATAATAGCTTGACGATTAGAAAATGAGTCATCCTGCATCTGCGGCAATGTCTTGGATCGGTACAGTCAGAATTGAGCACAACGTTTTTTGTTTACTTGGAGTACTGAAACACTGTTAGGACTTAGGAAAGGACCATTTTGCGTTTCGCTCTTGTGTTTTGTTCTATACTGTTCATATTAACAAGGGCTACTCACAACGTGAGCCTCCCACATTCTGGGATGCTAATTATGTCCAATCATAATTTTTTCCTAAAAATATTTATTCTTACACTATATATATTATACTCTCATTGCCTCGCTTGTATCCTTTTGCCTGTATAAGTATTGTATAAATATTCCATGGCTGACAAAACTGATAACGATTTACGGCCACAAGGAGGGCCACTGGGCTAGAAAAAGTATTAAAAAAATTTTAAGTCAGCGATTTTCAATGGCGTCTTATGAAATTGATGCCTGAAGAAATTTAGTAGAATCCGTAAAAAATATCCATTCACATTTAAAGGACCAGTTAACTCAAAAATTGGTAGTCTCCAATTTGGCTAAGATTTAAATCAGCTGTGACAAACTGGTAGAAAATCGTATCGGTGAAAGAACAAACTCTCTAGCGTACGTGTAACGCGTGTTATTGCGATAATAAGCTGTGGCCTCGTGACGTCACGAAGTCCCTCAGCGTGCGCTTGCATAGCGTAATACATTGCAAATGTTTATCATTGTCAATAAAAGACGTGTAACTCATTCAGATTTTAGAATTATGACTATTTCCCTAGTTCTCCAAAATCCTTATAGTTTTGGATATCACCTCAACTAAAGGAATAGCTGATTGGATGTACAGTGCTCACGTCAAGATTTTAAACAGTGACATAAGTTCTTGACAGTGGCGGGTAAATGTACGATTAGAAAGTTTCTGCTATTACAACTTATGTCATATATGTGATAATTTTGGATTGTTTTCAGCCGAGTATTATATGATTCAAGTAGAAACTTTTATTCGAATAACAAACAAATCATAATTTATGAATATCTGAGTGAATTGAACTACAAATAGACATTGACGATCCCTAAGTAGGGTAAGTACTACAAATGGATAGAAACTAGAATTGTTGAAGCGTATTACAGTTGGATTGAGATGAAAATTCGCTTTCTTTAAAACCCACGTACTTGTTTGAAATGCTCGGAAATTTGCTTCTTATTGCTTGGATTACACACGCAGGGAGCCTGTACCGATTATTTTTCCCCAGTCCATGAAACTCTAACAAATTTAGAAAGGATCTATAAGCTGTATGGCGTAAAAGTTGGTGGAAACTCTCCTGGTCATCTTTATCCGGATAACTAATACTTTTGTGACCATATGTGGCCATTTCTAATGTGTCTCTATTTAAAATAATATTGCAAAATTTGCTGTGTTCAGCTATACATTGATTTTTTGTTTCCATCATGTCTCCAACAACACCAACGCCAACGTCAGAGCAACAACTTAGGAAACTTCCCCTTCAGGTAGTGTTTCACATTTCCCACAAATACACCAATATTTTGAGTGAACACTAACGGGAGCACACAACCGATTTTCTACGTCATCGTCCTCTTCATCTGTGTCACAGTCCTGCTCTTAACAAAGTTCTTGGTCGCTATCATGGTGACTGAGATCTAGCCGATAGGGGTCAAATGCTAAACTGTTTTATTGCTGACACATTAGATAGTCACAATACCGAACCTGCTCAGTGCTCGAAAATATACACAAAAGTATACTTGTTAGCCTCATTTCACCCTCTCACAAGGTGGTTAGCCTCATTTTCACCTCGAATATTTAAAGCTTAGATCTCAATCAAGTATAATTACTATGGATTATACTTGCAACTTGGATATCATGGACGTAACATGAGAAAGTTATTTTTTGAAAGTGATGAGGCTAATTCGTTAGCCTCAATTATCCCTCGAAGTTCAATCACTCGATTTTCTATACGCATACCAAAAATCAAATGCGTTACTAAAACAGAAATGAAATTACAGAAATTTTAAATTTTATGTCAAAAAACGAACTTTAGGGGTGTTTCTAATGACCAGGGTCACAAACCAAATTTGCATAATTTTACCGTGTTTAGGGGGAACGATTTTATTATAATTAGAAACCGGTTTTAGAAGTAAGGAAGATACACTTGTACAGTGGATCAGAGTGACTGTTAGATATCGCTGACACTTCGATGGGCTGGGATCCTTTCCTTGTGTCCCAAAACGCTGAAAAAATAAATATTTAGTTGAGAAAAATTTAAGATAAAATTTACAACTAGAGTCACAACATCATCGTTAAGATCACCCCAAAGTAACTGTTTAACTCGAATAAAATCTAGGTTAAATATTACAACTAAAACAGCTCTTTATAATATCTAAAGTCTAAGCCATAAAATAACTTTTTAAAATCTTACCGAGTTGTCCGTTATATTGTCCACCGACCAAACAGTGAGGATCTTTAGGATTATACTCGATACATACAAGTGGAGAGATGGGCTTCAGTGTCATGTCTGGTTTGTTGGGAGACTCTGAAATAGTTGGTTGTTACCTTCAGTCAAGAGAATTCAGGATATTGTCTCTTAACGATTGTTTTGTTTATCGTATTATATTGTATTACAGTTGTTGAGTATTGATAACACATACAACAGGTGCTTGTCCGGTTAGTTCTGTGCATGAACAGTTTGCACACCATAGAACCATTAACAACCATTAACAACCATTCACATATCATGATAAACCACGATGCAACTTACAGTTAATGTTTCAGGAAACTGTGAACTGTGTGAAGCAAATTATCATTCCCAATGGCTACACTTCCGGCCACGCACTATTTAAAGCCCAGTTAACCAGATAACCAGTAAAACCAGTTAACCAGTTAACCAGTTAAACCACAGTGCATGTTTTAAGTGGAGACAGGGTTTCGTAAACAGTGTAACTGATAAGTTTTTAAGTGCATTTAGGCTTCATTATGAAGTATGCAGTGTGTGCAATGTTGCTTTGCTCTGCGGTTGAAACATTGATGCAAGGTTTAGGCTTGTAGAGATTAGACATATTTGTTAGTCCTTGATTTACTGAGACCAATGGTCAGACCATTTTAAAATCACTTACCGTTAACTTTTAACCGTTAGTGAAAATATATTTGGAAAATAGGTATCTGGATTACAATCATGATACTAACAATTGTTCTGAATTTACTGCTGGGAAGCTTCGCTGAAGACTATCTGGGTAAGTATTGAATCGCATCCTATTTTTCTTGTTCTATAAGTCATTGCAAAAAAACCTCTCCTGTAACTGTCCATAGTTCTTTCAGTCCTCATATAATCCGAATGAAAGTGTAAGAAGATTGCACTAACATGTATTATGTATATAATACTATGTGGTGGCTTCCCACAATTCAGGCTGGCAAGAAGTAGAAAGAAACAAGTTGATACCCTACAACCTAGAGGATTATCCTCTCTATCTGAAGACAACATCTAAAGTAGGAAGTGGAGATACCATAAGTGTTGGGCTAGCTTCCACTGATCACGATGGAGATTTCTACACATTTATAAAGCTGTATCTCACCCTACCTCCTGCTCTTACTATGGGCAACTGTAACGAGGATCATTCCTTTACAGTTACCACTTCAGTGTGAGTTAGACTGTCTGAAACAACAGTGACAGACTCCGTTTTACGAACAGATTGTCTCTTCGCTTCATGATAACAGGGATACCCACTATAATTGACTGTCTATCCGGCGAAGAAAATATATATCTTCTTTAAATTAGGAGTTACTTTGTGTTATAACATACATCTGAAATATTCTCTCCCCGGGCAGTTCAAACTATACAGAAGATGTGTGGACAATAATGAAGACAAGTAGCTCAGTAGAGCTGCACTATAATGGGGAGACAGTGCACACACTCTCTTTCCCAGAGCATGGAGGGGGATGTGTGGAGACTGGAAGTGAGAATGTTATCTGGCTGTACTTTATCTCAACTGATAACAATGTTACTAATCTCCAGTATAGGCCACATGTGCGAGGTAGTTACTGTTCATCAGTTAGCTTAACCACGGTGGGGTGGGGGGGGGGAGTGTTTCCCTTTACTAAGTTCAGAGCAAAATCTGTTCAATTGGTCATTACTGGGTACTGTAAACAAATATTGTACTGTAACAACATACTCCTTCAGATTACACAGATTGTTCAGTACAGGAAGTCACAGTAAACAGTGCTCGCTACTTGAAAGAAGTGTGTAACTACGACGGCACCACGTGGTTTAGTTGTCCTGACAGTAAGAACTATTACGGTATACAGAGGATATCTGGAGATAGCTGCTTCTATATCACATTCGATAGGACCTGCCCTGGTGATATACATTTCTATCAGGCTTGTGGACACGGTGGTTGCACTGGCTATCAGGTAACTGGTCGGTTCAAGGAAGACTAAACAGTTAAAAGAAAGTGTATGTTTTCAAATTACAAGCATCCCAAATCCCAATTCCTGATTTTGAATATTTCACCTGTTGTCAAATAAGTAATTGTTCCATGAAATTGACCAGTAATTATCCACAATTTCAGGTAAAAGGGGTATCAACACACTTCTGTTCTACGTACGTATGTGACAATAAAGCTAACAAAGAAGTTATCGGGGGTTCAATCCTCAGTACCTACTTCAACTGTAACAACTACACTGACTGTAAGAACACTAAGACTGATGAGATGGTAGATTGCCGGTCCGATGAAGATCAATATCAGTGTAGAGACTACGAAAGCGGAAAGAGAATAGCCACTTCCAAAGTGTGTGATAAAAAGTGTGATTGTCAGTATTGTGATGATGAGGGAGAGTGTAATGGTGTGATCTATGGTATGACGTGTCAGCTGGATTACGGGGCGGGAGAGTACGCTCCTCCTAACTTTGTGTGTGATGGAATGTATGAAGACTGTCTTGATAAAAGAGACGAGACAAACTGCACACACTCTGGTAAGACCTGCACCCTCTCCCCGCTCCATCCCCACTACAACCCAACTAGTGGCGGGATACGCTACTTGGCAGATAACCAAATCTGTGCAGTCCCTTTCAGTTCGGTCACGTGTTCTGACGGGAGAGATCAGATAAACTGCACAGATCCTGAGCGAGCAGCAATGTCGTGTCTATCAGCAGGGTTCACTACTACTGTCTCCATGTTTGCTATCTGTAAGGGGTTCCCTCTGTGTGACGATGACTATAATAACCAGTGTGTAGAAGTGGAAGGAGGGTGTAGTGTTCACAAGAGTTTCCTGTGTGATGGAGTGGAGGATTGTCCTGGAGCTGCTGATGAGAGTAAGACTTACTGTACTCACGTGTCACGTGTTAACTGTACTAGGCGGGTCAGCAGGAGGTGGGAAGCGGCTAATAGCAGGGAGGTGGTGCTCAGTATTCCTTTACACTGGGTGTTTGATGGTGAGCAGGATTGCGAAGGTGGAGAGGATGAAGATGAGAGGTACTGGAAGAAGTGTGGGTCTGGGTTATCAGTGCGGTACCTTGAGAAGGGGAGTCAGTGTGGTGACCAGATCATATGTCCTGAAGATGACACATTTATTGACTTCGACGATTTGTGTGATAGGGTTGAAACCTGTGGTGGTGAAAATGACATGTGCAGTATTTCTCGGGGTATTCCCGACACCTGGAACATATTACTTGAAGAGTCTGGCATCTACTCAGTGAAGCAGGTATCCTTTTGTTTGAGGGGATTGGAGAACTTACAAAAGATAGCTGGAAAGTGTCACACGATAACAACATCCAAAGATATGGGTAATAAAGTCAGTTTGATGAACACGAAGACCGATTTAACTCTACCCGACTATAAGACAGATTGCAGGTTTGTGTACGGAGAAATGTATGTGTATCTGACCTGCTCTGATTCATGTCACGTGACAACACCCTGCCCTCTGAAGACAATACCACATGATGCCTGTGTAAACAAGAAAGAGGAGAGGATATCAGCTGTTACCGAGTCTAATCAGCTCACTATTGTTCTGAGGAAACATCAGCAGTTTCAGAGAGCACAGGAACTGAGTGATGAGGACCCTCATTTCCCTCAAGGAGGGTCCAATGAGGGCTATCACAACGAGATATTCCCATGTGATAACAAGAACTGTGTTCTATACAGCGAGGTGTGTAATCTAGTAGACGACTGCGGGGACGGGAGTGATGAAGTAAACTGTACCAACCACTTCCACTGTCCTCAACATGACGAGTACATTCCCCTCACTTCTAAATGTGATGGACATGAGGACTGCAGGGACTACTATGATGAGTGTAACAGTGATTGTCATTCCACACAGAGGTTCATTTTTGGTAATTCATTCTTAAGGTGGTTGTCTTGGATTGTAGGGATATTGGCCACCATTTTCAACTCTTTCAACATTATAAGTTCAATAGGTGATATGAGACATGTACTTTCATTCGGAGGGTTGATGAACAAGTGTTTTATTATTTTGATCAGTCTGGGTGATCTGATGATGGGGATATATCTAGTTCTCATAGCTTTTGCTGATCTACATTTCGGTAGTGATTATTGTAAGATGAAATACGCCTGGCTGACCTCGCCAGAATGCTCACTTCTCGGTATTCTCAGTACCATCGCCACTCAACTATCTCTATTCTCCATGGCGGGACTCAGTGTATTCAGAATCAGAACTGTCAGTAAGATTATACAACAGAGCATCTTCTCAGCTAGATCCAGGATCCACATGATCCTGGTAATAACAACAATATCCGCACTATCTACTGCTCTAGCCTGTATTCCCATGTTGAACGGATTAGAGGATTCCTTTGTAAATGGTCTGTATTATAAAAATAATCCTTTGTTTACAGGATCAGTTAGTAAAGGTACTCACTATCAGATATTTCGGAGTTATTTTGGGTATTTTAAGAGAAGTGATTTGTCTTGGAGCACAATACGGGTTATTGTTAAAGATATGTTCACTTCTGAATACGGAGGTAAGCTCATTGAATGCACTTCACTATGACATATTCTATTATATATGTGTGATATATTACTATTAGTCTATCATAATTTCAGTATTGAATAGTTTTGGTTGCATAACCAGGATACAAATTTACAGTACATGAAATCTAACATTACAATCTAACCCACAGGTGTCGAGAGTAAAACAGTACACTTCTACGGTAATAACGGAGTATGTGTCTTCAAATACCTCGTCACTAAAGACGACCCTCAGAAGATATACTGTCTCACAATCCTCGTTATCAATTTCCTCTGTTTCATCACCATATCAGGGTGCTACTTAGTAATCAACATAATAACAGCTCGCTCCTCAGAGATAGTATCAAGACAGAACGACTCCGCCCAACGGAAGGGTATTCAAATTAAAATCAGTGCCATTATCTTCACTGATTTTATTTGTTGGATACCCCTGACTGTGATATGTTTTCTACATTACGGTGATGTTATAGACGCTTCTGACTGGTATCCCGTCTTCTCGATAGTGCTCCTTCCCATTAACTCAGTGATAAACCCTGTCTTGTATAATGCTAAGATAGGCAGGATAATATCTAAACCCGGCAGTGTGATAATAACGGTAGGGGGTAAACTTGTGGCCTATTTTGGAGGCTTCTTGGGTGAACAGATTGTGAGTAAGGGAGAGGAGGGGAGAAGAGATAGTGGTGATGGGAGTAGTATTGAAATGACTGAGGTGCAGACTAAACGGGAAAATACCACGGATCATGTTAGAAAAGATAACAACCCAGTTATAATTAGTCAAAATGAGGTGCAATCAGAACATCTTTAAGATTAACTGTTTTTTAAAGAGGTTACGGTTTTACAGAACGGTTTAAAAGAATTAAGAACAATAATTTGTATAGTTGAAGTTGAAGTTTTAACCGATAATCTAAGCTGGAAAACGCGCAAGCTTTGAGTTCTATACCACAGCTTCAAATGTCGAAATGTTAGTGAAGTTCTTATAAAATGTCGAGCTTTTAGAATAACAATATAATTATAATGCGCAGATCACAAACTTACCAACATCCCAAATGTAAGAGTCCATGCACATTCCAGGGGGAGATCGTTGGAATTCCAGGACGGAGTAAGCTACTGCCAGCTTCTGGGCGTTGTCTGGGTACCAGGAGATATTGGCTGCTGACCTCTTGTGCTCATTTGGATCTCTGATTAGAATGAAAGGGAATTTTAGACATTTTATTAATTTTAAAATTTAGTTCAGCACTGAACTTGGTGATTCAGTAAAATCTGTAAATTTAACTGTGACATTATTTTTAACATTATTTTTAACGTGATGATATGATTTGTAGTGTGAAAGACACCTAACAAAATAAAAAGATGCAGTTTCCCGTTTGAAAATTTCAAACATACTACAATTATAGTCAATACTTGAAAAATCTGAGTGCCTTGCAAATGTGTCGTAGTCAATTGTTATGTCTTGAAAGGTGTTTGAAACGCAAGAAAATCCTAGAATTTAGAAGCGCTGTAAAATTACAAAGTTGCTTCTTTGTTGAGAAACAAAGGGCTGGCAGAAATCAAAGGAGGGACCGAAATGTGAACTTAAAAATTGCACAATTTTACGTTTCTCTCTCCGCGCATGCACTCAATATAAAAGTGGAGGATTTTAGGGAACGTCAGTTAAACATTTTCTAGCATGAGATTCTCAGTAGTATTTTTGACTCTCGCTGCGGCCACCTTCGTGCTCTTAAAATCTGTAGAGGGAGAATATGAAGACTCTCAGCCGGATCTTGAGCCTCAAGCCCACACTCTCTTTGATGCAGAAGAGCCTATCGACCCACAGGCCCACGGTGTGTACACGCTGTTTGAAGGAGAAGAAGAGTTGGGGGGAATGTAACGTGGAGACAGCCTAAGAACCGAGCAAGGGAAATCAGACTGGTAACCAGGGTTAACCAGGACCATGCAGTCTGCAGCATGGCAGATAGGGTAAAGATTACAGACGGCTCGGAGTTGAGTGCTGGTCAGACGCAGTGTCTGGTTGTTAGATTATTACAAATGTTCACGTATATTAGCGTAGATAAAGATATTTCTTTTTCTTTGTTTGATTGTAAGGATGTTATCTAGTCAGATGTGACGATACTAACTGCATTTATAAATTGTTAATTATAAATTGTTTTCTTTCTAACTTGCTAAACAGCCGGCGCAAAATTAATTGGGTATGCTATTTACATCAGGCCTTGTAAACTTTTTACATGAATAGTACTGGAAATATGCAAATATGCGAATAATATGTGACTACCTGAATACGTTGATGGTTTTAGCACTGGGAGGTTCGACACAACCATCCTCTGCCATGTCGTCAAAGTACTCCTCGTAAATGTCAACTGCATTATTCTGCTTGATCGTGTGCTCCATTACCTTATTTAAAGAGTAATTATTAGTAATTACAGCAATTACAAGTTTGCTAAATTACTGCAAATTGACTGTAAAATCTCAATGCATAAACCATTTGAAGGACAAGGAAGAGACTTGCCGCTTCACTTAGTTTTATGTCCCGAGAATAAGATCCAAAGAGCTAAAAGGTAGCAAGATGATCACGTCTACGGGTCTACCTTCTTTGCTATTTTCACTATGAATTTCTAAAATCACATAAACTGGCGAACACCCGAAACTTTTCGAATAAATGGTAATTGTAAATTGCAATTAAACCTAATTCTTCAAAATAATGACCTGCGCTGAAGTACCGACACAGTGCAACGACAACAGCACCATTATATAATATCTCTACATGATCATATGATCTAAGAGAACGCTAAAAGAACGCTAAAACCATTAAAATGTACTCACACTGCCGAGTTGCTGGATAGCCTGGATATAAACCTCATCCTTCTCAACCTTCTTCCTGAACCTCATGGTCTGTTCCACCTCCGCAGGGTTGATGTCTTTAGGCCACCCTCCCTCCACGTGGTTTATACCTCTACTTTGTGTCTCGAACCGCTCTGTGTTTACCTGCGGGCAAACTACAGTTTCAGACCTTCAAGCTTGTAATTTGTACATGAATCGATCACCAAAATACAACTCGTAACCCTGATCATATCAAGTCATCATTCTATTCATGACTTTCACTCAAAACCTAGGCAGTACTGCAGTACGCACATATTATATCATCATGTACACACTATTATCTTGAAGCTAGTACTGCTGAGTTCTATATAAGATATTCAATTTAAATAAAAGTAACCTCCTCTCCGCATTACCTCATGTTCAGACATCTCGGGCGCACATTGAATAGCACTCTCACAGGGGTTCCTCTCAATGAAGCTCTCCTTCAGAGTCTCATCTACAGGAATATCCACCAGGCTCTCTGCTGTACGGTCTGTAAAGTTGCACTGCCTCCCAAACTCCTCTCGCTTCTTCGTGTACACGTAGACGATCTCCATTTTACTATAATATGCTATTTTGTGTGGACACGCGTTATATTTTGGTTTTTTAAGTAGCATTTTCTGATTGAAATTGAATGTGGAAGCAAGGAAACGAGTTTTGGACGAAAACATAAAATAGTACGAATCGTCTCATATAATTATAATCGGGATGCACTACATGCTACTTCAATAATAATTTAATGCTAGATACAGAAAATTATTGAATTAGATACGGCCTCTGATTTTATATCGGAAAATGTAAAACAATCTGAAAAGTCTAAAATTCCGTTTTCGCTGCCTATTTCAGCAATACAAATTTTCTGACGACTTTTCACAAATAGGACATCATAATAATCTTTCATCTCATTCAATCAGTGAATTTCAACTCGATAATTTTAATTGAACAGTGCCTCAACATAAAAGCAGTTCATCGATCTGATCATTCGCTCTTTGCATTGGACGAATTATTTTCGTACAATCTATTGATCTTATTGTCATTTCTATTAAGTGACCAGGTGCCCCTATTCTCGTACTGCTTGGTAAAGGCACCCACAATGATGGTCAGGGGCAGAGCTAGGAATACCATGCCGATGTAGAAGAATACGGTGGAGAAGGCTTTACCAATGAAGGTGACAGGAACTATGTCGCCATACCCGACTGTGCTCATGGTAACTACAGCCCACCACATCGCATCAACTCCTGAGAGAAAGGGGTTTTGTGTGGCATTGTTGGTTTATTAATTTATTGTTTCTTTATAAGTGTAATAATAGATAAAAACATACCGCAAAAAATATATTCAAAAAATATTATGTCACGCTAGAATGGCTTGAATATATTTTGTGCGGTATGTTTTTAGTGCCGACGCGTGTTATAGATGAATTTATTTATATTTACTTTTTTATTTATTCATTATAAAAAATATATTGGTAAATTATGCAGCTGCAAGCACTCTTTGATTAGATTACAACTAATAAAGTGATACCAACTTGTTACAACATCAAAACAGATCATATACTGATATAGTAAAATAAATCCAATTGTAGAATGTAGTTCAAATAGAATATCTTACCGCTCGTAATCTTATCGTTAGCCTCATTCTCGCAGTAGTAAAACACAGACCCTGCCACTGTGATACACATGGCCCACACTATTATCAACAAAGAGAGCTCCCCTAGCGAGTGTGACATCACGTACGCAATCAGCAACAACCTCTTATTCTTCTTGATCAACTTTAAAACACGTACCACCCTCGCCATCCTCAGCACTTTCAGTCCTTTGAACCTCGACGCATCAACAAACAGCTCAAAGTAGTATGGTGCTACTGTTACGATATCCAGCCAAGTAGCGGGACTCCGAGCAAAGACCCACCTCTCGTCAGATACTGTGAACCTTATCAGCACATCAAAACTAAAGAAGAAGACAGTCACAGTCTCCACAGCAAAAGCGATGTTATACTCGAGAGACCATTTCACGGATACCTTCCTCTTTACTTCAGGGTTAGTCTCCGTTACCATGGCTACCACAGACAGGGCTATAAAGAAGATATCCAGCCAGCCCCAGATCTTGCCAGGTATAGAGCTACTTGGGTCTTGCAGTGCTTTGTTCACAGCTCTAACAGCACGGCTGAATTTGTTTATATTAGGAATTACAGTAATTTATGAATTGCGGAAGGCCGAACGTGGGTTTTTGATATTGTAGTGTTTATAGGGAGCATCACGGCTCCCGACAATTTAATTTTACAGTCAGGAAAAGTTTACAGTCTGGAAAACTGGCAAACATCATTTAGACGCCGCGCTCTTATACAACTGCATACCTGAACTTAGAACCAGTTCTTTTTGGCTTTATAATGAAATCACTATCACTATCATTATCATCTGGGTGCTGAAAGACGCTCATCATCCTATAGAAGTTCACCTCTTCAAGATACATATCTTCTGGAACCCCCTGGGGAGGGTACAGTTTCCCGAACAGATAGAAGTCGAATATTGACTCAAACGTGTCTCGGTTTCGGTCGAAGAAGTATTCTTTGTGGACGGGGTCGTAAAACTTCTTTATATCAGCCGAACCTAAAAGTTAATATTTTGCTTAATAAAGTTATTGAATATTACTGGATATTTTCTGATGACAGTTGGTACTATCTTTCTGTCACAGTGTTGAAGGTTTTTACTTTTGTATCAAGTCTCCAGTACGTAGTACGTAATAATATGTTTGCCAAGTTTGATAATGAATGCTCAAAAATGTAGAAGGTGATAGATTCCATACTAAGTATCCTAAATATGCATTCAAGCGTCCATTCGAATCAAAGGAATTAATTGCGGTGACTCTGTAATTAAAGACCACTTTTATATACGATTATTAAAAGTACAAAATACCTAGTAGAGTCGTCGGATATTTCTTCAACTTCTTAGAATCTATTAGGAACTTTCTGCCCGACACATTTATAGTTATCAAGACTGGAGCAGGTTTGGGAGCAGGTAAAACTTGACCTTTGGTAGCCAGTTCGTTGGAGGATGAGCGAGCTACCAGCTCACTTTTTTCGCTGGAGCTAGGCAGGGACAGGGCCCGGAGCGGAGCAGTCAGAACTCTCGACTTTTTGGATGAAAAAAAATCTGAAAATTTAACACAAACATTAGAATTTTTCTGAGAAATGAGAATTACACTAGTCGACAATTTCTTGTTTTCGTCGAACAATTATTTTTGCTGCCTTTTGTGGATTTGGGATTACCAGGCTAGTTTCAAACGCAGAGTTCAGGTAAAGTTCACAAAGTTAGAGCTCACTACCTCGCAGTTGACGTTTTGGAATATTATAAAACATGCTGGCGCCAAAGATGTAAAAGTTAGCAATTTTAGATAATAACGTCGGAGATGGAATTTTAGAACCCCAGTGTAGACTGTCTAGAGATAAACGACAACTAGGCCGATTAAAAGATAATTTTATACAGCTACGGCCCTTCATAATTATGATTATGTGCAATTTGCTGAATATTATTATTATATACATATTACATAATATATCATTATCATCATAATTATCATCATAATATATAATATCATTCCACAGATTCCACAGAACTTGGCAATCCCGTGCCCTACCTATATCGACATACAATGTTTTACATCGACACCTCTATTATATTAATTCGACTTATATCGAGTACGATTCGACATAAGTTGAGAGTAGCACACTGAGTAATTCGACAAACTATTATCAATCTGAGCAAGTACCACGTGAGTACTTAATACTTATCGTGGATTATGTAGCACACCTTAAGCTTGATAAGACTCTATTACCTGATCTCATGATCTGAGCTGAAGAGGACCTGATCAGTGACCAGTGACCAGTGACCAGTGACCAGTGACCAGTGACCAGTGACCAGTGACCAGTGACCAGTGACCAGTGACCAGTGACCAGTGACCAGTGACCAGTGACCACCCGACCTCCACCCACGTGATTTCAAGACTAAAAATAAGACCAGGTTGAAATAAACAATTACAAGTATAAGAGAGGGTTGAGCCACTGAGCTGATACCGACTAACCTGTTAGTCGAGTAAGATTATAGGTGAAATCAGCGCTTAAAAATCGGAACTTTGTAGTTTGCATTGTGAATGCAACGTTGTGATTCTTTGTCTAAATCAAGGGAGCTATTCGAAGGAAAGATACGTTTAACATATTTTATGAAAATAAGGAACTTTTAACCGTGCTCACATTACTGAAATACCCATAATATTATCTTTTAAGGTTTAACATGAATAATACATAACACGGTCCGTATGCTTATCACCGACCTCTAAGTTCAACAATAAAGCTTATCTTAACTGAAGTACTGGCCGATATATTTTACGGTGAAAATTTGTATGGGCTATATAAATATGGTGATAAGGAGTACATAAGAAGTACGTGTCGAGATAAAGTGCACATGCAAGTCGAATTACTGCATTGGAATCCAGAACTTTAATAGCTGGCTTTAAACAGCTCTGGATATTTAGATATTCAAATAGATCTGGATAATGGATATTAGTGCACCAGTATCCAGATCCATATCATTTCAAATATGCATATTATATATATGCATAGATTTTAGTATAGTGTAAATTTGAAACAAATTAACATACAAGGGCAAATTAGTATGTGAAATTAGTATATATATATACTAATTTCACATACTAATTTGCCCTTGTATGTTAATTTGTTTCAAATTTACACTATACTAAAATCTATCCACAGATTCCACAGAACTTGGTAATCATTGAAGTCATGTTATGAAAATTAAAGCCCTGTTATAATTTATAAGTAAATACTTAAATCATAATCATGCATATGATAGAAATCGTCTTCTGAATTGATTTAAATGAATTCAATAATGATCATGAAGAACAAAAAAAATAATATTAAAAAAATAATACTGACTTGATAAATTATCGGAGAAAACTTTAGTTGTAGACATTTTTCTATAGGGCATTCTTCCTCAGGAACTGGAGCGAGAAGTGTTCTTGTTTTTCGCCAATTTTGAACTGCTGGATACGCACAAAATTTCAAAATTCTATAGTACAAATCACTTTAAAAACGTTTCGCAGCGAGCTCTAGAATCGTCCTTGAACATTCTATTGATAATAAACGAGGATGCCACCCTAATAATTGAACGACCTTAAAAATCTCGTTCTATAATGAGATGACATGATGACAAAATATAGCATTGGTATCAAGCAAAAAGCGCTGATTGCTTAGTGCACTTTACGAAGCATGCTGTGAACATGTAAGTCTGTCAGTGGGAAAGAAGATTGCATATGATGTACATTGTACAATGTACATTTTGAACACCTTATCTTAAAATCACACCTTGTCATATCCAACTGTTTTTTTTTCTTTGTAAAAAAGTCAGTTTAACTACTTGTAACAAATTAGAACTCAACAAAAACTGGTATTCAAAGTTGAAATAAAAATGAAGCTACTGTGAGTGGCGGTGTCTAGCCAAAAATAGGTACTAGCCAACACTTTATCAACACTTTATATCAGTTAAAAAGTATTATTACCATCATTATTCACATGAGAAAGTGAGCAATTAGTACATGTTTTACTTTTTACTTTTTTACAGAAATAGAAACCAGCCAACACTTTACATCAGTTAACTACTATTATCAACATCATTATCCACACGATAAAGTGAGCAATTACACGTTTAAATACCTAAATTAGATGCCAATTATCCTAACTTACAACACGGAAGCGGATAACATGTATTACAGAAACATACAACAACTTTATGAGAGAAAAGAAACAAGTTATTGGAGAAAAGAAAGGAAGATGGAGACTTGACAGAAGGGTAACAGAAGGGTAACTAAGCACAGTATTACAAGTATTCTACCTACCCACCATTCTGCCTCTAATCCTTGTTCAGCGTTACAATCATTACATCAGTTATGAATTAAACAGATTTACCTTGCTTTTACAAAGTCAAATTATAAGCCGTTTAATTTTATCAATCTGTAATACAGAGAGGGAGGGTAAAATAACAAAATAATACTAAGGTATCATTGAATTATAGAGAATTAAAATGTTTACCGTTACTTGGCGATCAGTCAATAAACAATTTAACACCTGATTTTCTGGGAAATAACTTGACCGAACCAAAGCAGAGGTCAGAATTATGAGGGCAAGATTCAAATCAATTAGATATTTTCAAAGTTTTCCGGGCCTGAACGACATGGAACGAAAGTGATTTAGACAACAGCTAGCAGTGCGTGTAGTGCAGGGGAAGAGCCTATTTTACTGTAACTACTGGTGAACAAGTCTTTCAACTCATTGTTTTGGCCTGGCAGATAATTGCTGTCAAAGTCTACAGTGGTATTTCTAGACTGCAAAGTTCTTAGCTACCGGTTACCGGTATAAGCGGGGTAGGTTAATTATGCTCATCTGCGCCCTGCACAGTGCACATCAGTTCAAAAAAAATTTAAAAAATACATCAGTTCCAATTAGTCTTTGTAGCAAGGTCCATCTTTTCACAGCAACTTCAACGCTCACCTTCAACTACCAACTACTAAGATAAGGACAACTTAAAATAAGCCTTCAAGTTTAAGAAGTACTAAACCAAAAAGTCAGGTTTTTGGCATATAATGCCTTTTAAAACTTAGTAATATGTGGCAAAAGCATATAATAAGTTCCGTTCAAGCATTAGTTTAAAACTGATTTTTTTCACCTTTTCCTTTGCGGCATAACATTATATCACTTATTTCTAGTTTACCGGAGCCATGTAGCTGCTATGCAAATTTAACATTAAACACAGGTTTGAGCCCACAGACTAAGCCTTATCGTTGATATCAGGATCAATTAGGTAACGATATTCTTTCAGACTTCAGGTCATCCTTATTTTATTGATCTTCTATGAAGTTGGAAATTGGTAGTTGAACACAGAACTTGTCATTGTCCTATAATATCCTCCTGGCTCCTGTTTATCTGAGTTAAATACCCTGTCCAGTGGACACAGAACAATTAGTTATCGAACGACTGATTATGGAACGATTAATTATGGAAATGACCATCACCAGTGCAGGGAGGGGTTCAGCTTCATAGTTCTGATCCGTTACCGGAGATATGATTCTGATTAGTTACCGGAACATTCACCAAAACATCAGAACAAGCGTGCTGTACAGCGTATACTTCATCAAAACACACCTACTTTATCAAAACAAGCGTGCTTCATCAAATACCCATATATGGTATCTGATGGTTTTCATGTAACAGTCAAGAAGTTAAGACTTGAATCACACCAAATGGTCACATGGAGATTATCACTCCCTACCATTCAAGACTCGTAATAAAGTTTAATGTGGATACTAAGTAAACCGTTAATAAAACAAGTAATAAGAAACAAATCACTCAGTACAGCACTAGTACAAATCACTGTGATTAAATCAAGTAATTATTACGTCAGAGGAACACTACGCAAAACATTCGGACCAGAAAATGTAAATATCGAAATATTTCAGACTATGATATTGATGATAAAAGTATGTTTGACACTTAAGTAATCTCAGTGAAGTTATTCCAGCGATAATCTATCATGAAACCCCGACTTAGGACATAGCTCACTGCTTATATTATATTATGCGATTTTTATATCTGGCCTTCTGAGTAATAACAATATCCTATATGGGGGGGGGGGGGGGGGGAGGGGGGGCCGGGGGCTGCAGCTGACCATATTAAAGTATATTAAAATGTAGGTTTTTTCCCGATTTAGGGCCGGGGATATATTTTAATATACTGTAATATAGTCAGCCCCCCCCCCCCCCCCTCCCAATATTATATTGATACTCTGGCTTGTTAGCTTATTGAACTTATTGAATTATTGGAGTCTATCCTAGTGACAGGATGTGATAATACATACCACAACATGACATATTTAGTCTCCCGTTAAGCTTGTAAGGGGAACTAAAAATTGGGAAATCTTAATTTGGATTAATTCGTCTAATTTTGTGTAGTGATTTTTAAGAAATGTCAGATTTTAAGTTGTGTTGCATTCATCTTTAATAATTACCATGATTATCATAGATGCAATAGATTAGAATTACAGGGAGTCCTTTCAGACTTAATATCTGTTTGCAGTTCCTAAGTATGTCTCTAGAGATTAGCCTAATCCGGAAATATTGCGAGGAATAAAACAAGTTTTAAAAAGGAATAAAATGACGCGCTGGTTCTAGTTAAAGTAACTAATTCACGAATTATTGGTTGGAAACGACCTTTCTGGGTTTTAAACTTATTCTGAAGAAATAGCTTGAGTTTAGATTTAGGAATCTAAAAAGAACGTGAATCAAAATCATCACTATAAAGTTACGTGAACTGTTAAAATCAAAGATAAATAACCTTTTTGTCGGACTATAATATAGTCAGTATTTTATAACATTATGGCCCCATTAGAACATATAATAGTCACAATTTTATCACAATGTTGTCATAATGTAGTCACATGTGTCGTCACATGAAGCAGAGACAGGTTCATCTTGTGTTTGTAGTCAGAGAGTCCCTTATCACTTGCTATCTAACACTGTCTGTCGTGTTTAACAGTACCTACTTGTAATTTGATAGACTATAATCGACTCAGGATAAGGATTTCCAGTAAGCTACTGGAGAGTGGAGATAATCATATTTATTTTAATTTGCTGTCGGTCGCCTAACTTCAACGTCTTGAGCCTCCTGAAAAATACGGAGATTAAAGAAGATCTCGGACTCTGGTTTCAAAGCTGATATTGATAATGCTGAAAAACTATTCAAGATATTATAGGTATCTTTTGTTCAAGTTGAAGTAAGAGGGTATATCTTAATAAGTGTACAGGATTGAAACAATCTCAGAACACCATACCGCATAAGTAGGTTCCGCAGGTTCTACTGGTCCGACACTTTTCCTCCTCTCTGACGGATACCCTAGAGTCCTCCTCTTTTCCTCCTTCTCTTCCTTCACTTTTCTGTAATGGTCCTGGTCCAACTCAGCGTAGGCTGGCTCTTCATCTTCCTGGTAAAATCAATCGTATAATAATTATAATGTACGTTTTATCTTCAGAATAAGATTAAGTCATGGTCGGAAAAATCTTCAAATGGTTCAACTTGGAATGAATCCTGACAAAATCTCAAGAGCAGAAGAGCAGTAATCAGGATGCTGGTCGGTTCATAAAGAGATACGTATCCCCCTCGAACTCACAATAGCGGAGGGGTTTGAAAAGATCATTATTCCTCCTCCGTTGTTACTCACAATTTGTATATCCGCCAGTGTCTTGATGTCGCTGTCTATATTGTCCAGGTGTTGGTCGATGGTAGAATTCTTTTGTTTAGATTTTTGTGTGCGCTTCCTGAAGCTTTGTAGGTTCCTATTGTCGTAGAGATTCTGAGGAAATTTATAGCATGTTTTCAAGACTTATATAATGTGTACAAGGCCGTTTAAATTGATCGTCAACTTCTATTCTAAATTCCTCATATTATATGAACTATCGTTATCTGTAGCAACTGATTACACGAAAGTCTGGAAAAATGGCGATAAACCGTTCAACCACATACCACTCTCTTTATCTGGTTGTTTAGGCGCAAGTCAAGCAGTCTGCCATTATATTATGAGCTCAAATGGGTTATTATTTAATAGGATTATAAGAGTCGCGACAAACATATTCAGACTAGACATGTAGGTTTGTTGTACCAACTAACGATCGTACTCGATGAATAAAAGATATAGCGATTTTGTATAAATTGTATCACGATTGTACTTGATGAACTATTTGAAAAATTCAAATCGAGGTATTTTTCAGTCATACTTTTAAATTGTATTGTCATGTGGAATGCTCACACACGCCAGTCATTGTAAAATTTCCCTAAACCTTGAGATTGCTATTTTAACGAAGGAGCAGATAACTCAATAAAGATTCACTTACATTTTCCTCTTCAGTCCCAGAATCCTCGTCAATCTTTTTAGAGGTTTCTAAATCCAGATCGTCTGCACTTTTATTGACAGTAACAGTACCTCGACGCTCCAAACCTCTTGGCTCAACATGACGAGATTCTACACTAACAGCTTTCTTGGCAGCACCCTTCATACAGACACAGTAATAGAGTACAGCTAGTAGAATCAGTAATAGTAATACTCCTCCTATTACACCCCCCACTATTGCACCTGTATTGGAACCACTTTTGTCGTCACCTGAATTAATGGTTAATTTAAAATTATATTTAAGATGTCTTCTAATTTGTTTGCTACCTCAATTTTATTGATTAGAAGCAATGAGAAGGCTGGATGCTTAAAAATAATTACAGCTGTAGTTTTCCATTAAATTCACATTATTGTGATGAAAACACATCTAGAAAGTTCGTTACCGGTGTTTTCCTGATAATTAGGATCATCTATACAGCTGCTGAGACTCAGTGTCTTATCACTGCTCGTTTCTCCTTCAGGACATTTTGTACAGTCATCATTAACTCCGTAGTAACCAGCTTTACAGTTACTGGTAGCTGAGAATTTTAGATTGCGTCAAGTCATCCATCTTAAAGTTAAAGTTAAAGTTAACTCTAAAGTTTACATCTTAGTTAATACGATTTCCAAGGATAAATTGTCTGTGGGTCCATATTAATTATTATTATTAAGTAAATGTTGATACCGTGCTAGATGTTTATGTCGTGCCGTAAGTTATCGAAAAAACATGTTCCAAGTATACAATTATTGTTCACAAACCTTTGACACAATCAGATATGTCATTTGATTTAGGAGGTGATGTCTCATCTACTCCGCAAGCTTTACACTGCGTTCCTACACCATACTCTCCTTCCTTACAAGCCACTCCCACTGAAACACAAGAAAACGTTTTAAGATTCGCTAGAAATGGAGAAACAAATTTTACAAATCATTTTCGGACGAGTTTGTGCAGGATTTCTTCCTAGAATAATATATTAAAAGGTACTAAGATTTTACGTTTAAGACGATTACATACCTTTGTAAACGTTGTAAGTTCTGACAGTCTTGTTGAACCCGCCGGTGTTATCAATGAAATAGAATGCAAACTGGTCCCCAGGAATCTGCTTATTAAACTGAACCTTGAACGTTACTCTAGGAGGTACCTAGGATTATAGCACATCTGTTAGGATTTATAAGATAAAAAGTTGAGGTGATTTTATAGTAGAGATAAGCATAACTCAGTTCCATGAGATGATAATGATTCCCGGTGTAGGTGTGGTATCATGCTATGATAAATTTAATGATATGTGACATTCTTAGAATCAAAGGTTTGAAACCTTATACCTTATACAGGGATTCCTTCGGGAGCATGTAAGATTATATCCAAAGTTTGTTCGCCAATGGGGTGTGTCTGGGTGTCAAAGATCTTCAAGGTGGGTGCTACTTGTGATGAACTCTAGAAGGATGGGGTGGTAATACTCGGTCTGGCCGTCTGGAAGCCCATAGAATTCCAGTTCAGAAACCGAGTAAGGAGGTGCGGCTACTGATGAGAAGCCTCCTTAAAGTTTATTTGGGTTAGAAACGACATCTGGGTCCCTACCCTCGCACAAGATTATTCTCAATTTTCTTGTTGTGTTCCACAACTACACTTGAGTCCCAGGCTAGCATAGAAGGTGAGATTAACGGTGCACAACTGAAAGTCCCAGTTGTGCGCTATTAATCCCACCTGCTGTTCTACAATAATTATTTTTATCGTCTTGTAGCAATAAACTTATGACTTTATGCAATATAGCTGTAGGTCACGAAAGCACCGCGCCGGTGGCTGAAAGTGAGAAATCTTGGAATGAGGTTCTAAAAATAGCCTCTGAAACTCTGGATCGAACTAATTATTGCTTAGGCACGAATCCCATCGGCCCGGCGAAATTGGTTTACTGTTTTGGCGATTATGAATAACTTTGTTTAACGCAGTAATGAGTGCAGATCTGCAGTTTTAGCTCCTTGAATAACATAGTGTTATGAAAAGCAAAAATCACGTGACGTTAATATATCTCGTGACCATAGCAGCTGCGCTCTAGCGTTGGATCTCTAATTTTACCACTCTTTCATTCTTAACTCGTCTTTATCCTAACACTTAGCCTCAATTATATATAATATAAATTATAAGGGCACGTGCAAGGCCAAGGAGTATATTTATTTTGGTCGATACTCGTTATAGCTATGCAGCATCAACTCTCAGACTCTCAGACTCGTGCGCAAATTTTTAATTAGTCACTCAGAAATCATCTCCCGATGCGATTAATATTAAATCTACCTTCTTTGATAAAATTCTAACTACCTGTAGGTAAAATAGTATATCATGACAGTGTACTCGGATACGGCTGATACTGTGTATGGATCAGTTTGTGCTTGTGGAGTAATCCTGTCCCTTTTTCTCAACCCCTTGTTATTAATACAACATCTAAAGAAGAAACGAAGTTTTATCAACACACTTTTTATCCACCTCTGTTTTGCTGATTTTGCTACAGGTTTAGCAGGTTAGTAGTTGCTCAACAAATTTTCCTTCGCCAACTAATAACAATCGTTAGACTTCACCAATCACCATCTGCACACAAACATCAAAACATTTTAATTCCCCGCAGGAATCGTACCCAGCTACAACTTCCTTCTTGACCAATACGACCACAAACTTTACCCAGCCACACCATGGACGAAAACAACTTCAATATTCAACACCATCTTCATCTTGGACTCAATGATCGTAACTACACTGCTAGCTGTTACTAGGTACATTAGTATCATGAGTCCTTTCTACACGGTTAGACAGATTTACGTTTTTCTGTACCATGTCCTAGAAATCTCATGGATCTTTGCAGCATGCCTTTACGAAAACAGACCCAAGGTAAGAATTCTGAATATGTTCATATTGTATGAAATTGAAATAGCAGATTATAATCATGATTTCATGGACTGAATTTCTGGTTTATCATATCTTCACAGTTCACACATTATGATAATATAATACATAATTACAATATCCAGCAGGAAAATCTGTACTGGATGCCTGTACCTCAAGGAACCTCAATCATTAATTCCCAAGTCAACTCTTCGACCTATAGCTACAACCCTTCAGAACTGTACAAGGGATTCAACATGAAATGGACATACTTTATCATTCCCATGATACTTCACTGCATCGTGGTGATCACAGTTTCCACACTGACGATCATTGCTCTGGTGAAGAGCAGCATGGCTGAGGTCAGCTCGCAGTCAGCGCAGCGGTGCATCAAGAGTAGTAAGAAGATTCTCCTTCTGAATCTTGGAGTTATCATACAGGCCCTTTCTTATCTAAGTGGTGTTCTCACTACCTTCGCTGGTGATTTTCATGAGTATCACGTGACTGTCAATGCTGTAGTTCTGCCTATTTGGCTTTCTTGCTACAATCCTATTGTCCTTCTTGTGGGTGAAAACAAGGACATGATTCTACAAAGAATTCGGCCGATCTTTTTTAACAGTAATTAACTCTTTGCTCTCGGATCTAGGTTAATGTTATTTAAGTTATACTGATAAAAAAAAGAAATTTACACCACACACTGCACATTTAAAGGCATCATAATTATTTATTTACAATAATTTATATCGACTTACAGCAGTGTATTCCTCAGATCTGGTTAGGGTGAACAACTCATCTCCTTCATCAATATTGTTGTTGTTGTCATCCACATCATTATTTGTATCGCCATCTTTCTCGGTGTCATTATCGTTTTCATCATCTGTACCCTGGTCCTCCTTCTTGTCGTAGTGTGTAATGATTGTGACGTCAGCTAAGGGCCAGCCGGTTACTTGAAAAGAGAAGCTGGCATCTTGAGTGTCGGAGAGATAGTAGTTTTGCTCTTCCACAGGGTCAACTCTGATTTCTCCTGTTATGTTAATTGTTAATTTAAGTTAATACCATGTAGTCTAAACTTTGAGTTGTGATTTTATTTCAGGAAACTCTGTTGTGAATTTTAGTTTTATAATCATAGTGATATTTCTTTATTTTATAGCTTATGATAATTGATAATCATAGCGATAATAATAATGATAATTATGCTGCAAACATGATTTCTCTTTGAAAATAAGATGTTTTAAAAAGTTACTCTCACTTGTATAAGCGAGGTTGAATATTTGCGTTTTTTGTAGACTGTTTAAAGAACTGGATACTTTACAAGTGTACGAAGCAACATGTCCCAGAGAGAATGTGGATATTGTCAGAGTCGACTCTATCACTGATCCAATATCACGTAGGACGTCCGTTTTGGTGTTGAGAGCGGAATTCACTGCATCGTTATCTGTAGCAGATAATGATTTATGTATTAACTGGTCGTAGTTAAATTGAAATATGGATTCATATTAATAAATAGAAGAAGGAATTTTGAGAATATTTTTCCAGGCCATGAATCCATTAGTTTGGCTAAGAATCCAAGTTTTCAAAACATCATGAAATAATACAAAATCAGTTAGGTGGCAGACATACGACACATTCTTTTAATTACCTTTTAAGCGAATAACTTACTTGCACTGGCAGTCCACTCGACAGTTAAGGTAGCCGGTCCAACAGCAGTACACTTCAGTAAGACTTCCTCCTCCAGTTCCGTTTCTGGTTCCAGAGTAGCATCACACATGCTTGGTTGCTCCGCTGAAACATTTACTATTATATAGCTCGTGTATTTGTCGTCCATATCATATTCCTTCAGCTTCTCGATGGTAGAAGTTTAAATTTCACTGAGAAAGTATATAATACTCCCCTGTGGGAGGTAAATATTAAAATACAGACTTACTTTTGCAAATGTGAACATATCTGTACTTAGTTCGTTTCATTTGACTAAATATTCTGTTGGTATCGTAATAGGGTGTTCCAGATAAGGGACCCCAACTGCTCCAGTTGTCGTTGTAAGTGAATAAAACAGCTGCTTTACTCTTATTGTCATCACTGTATTGCACAAAAATTTTATCCTTCGATAAACTTGAAAATGTTAACTCGAAATCACCAGTGTTAGCTGAAATTAGATCATAAATTAAATAGAGCAGAGGGTGTCCTGATGCAATGAATCTAGATCAAAAGTACATCACTGAAAATACTATTTAAATCTAAATAGGCGTACTACGCAAATTACCTACCTATACCACTTATAGATTGCTCATAAGTTGTGGAAATTCCATTCTTGCTGCCATAGATGTTGAGTTTGTTGCTATCGGTTAAAAACTCATGCTGGAATATAAGTGGCTCGTAGTTAGCCTTTGAATCTCCATAGTTCTGGAATCTGAGGCATTTAAATTGTGAATAATTATTTGAAAGTGATCATTCTGCCAATAAGAATATAAAGTGCATTTTGTTATTGATATTTCGAAGCCAAAATCTTAATGGTTTCGGCTTAGCCAGAAACTAACAAGAGTTTGAGATTTCATCAAAAATTGTTGCAGCATTGATCGGTAGGTAAATGATTGTGCGTTAAAACATAGTTGATCGTCAAACTCGTGATTTAACCTCAAAGTGTCGACCATGCCACTGCTGGTATCAGTTAGATATGTACCCCCTATAGTAACAAGACCAGTGGGCTGGGTTGAGTCAGTCTTAACCCACATCAAATTGTCAGAATCTTTTTTACCATCTCGATTATCGAATGCAAACCAGCAAACTGAAAGCGATTGAAATTTTAAAAACCCGTTTTATTGGTAACAAAACCATTGAGAACAGCCAACGCACAAGGGGAGCATTTTGAACTTTCGAAAATTTGCAAAATAAACATAGATAATTCCTGTTGTTTAAATAGAGTACCTCCATCGCAATCTCCTGAAACAGCGAGAAAGGCAGAGAATGCACATATCAACACAAACAACATTCTTGATACAACTTGTGTGGAATTACACCTCTGATGGACAAGCATTTCCATCATTTGTTTATTTTGAATAATCACATAATACCACATACAACACAATGCAATAAGGAAGTGATTTACATTTCAATTACAGCTAATGTAGAGTTGCATTGCAATGCAATGGTTAGGTATCATGAAGTAGCAATTATCAAAACAGACCACCACCCGATTATTTGAGTCACAGATGATTTATTATATTGTTTGATTATATCTAGACATCAACATTACTATATAATAATTAGTACTACTGTTCATCAGTGGGGTACTTCAAACTCTTTAGCTTAACTTCTTGTTTATGGAGGCTTTTCATGTCGTTTTCACTTGCAAATGCAATACTTGCAGGAAACTTATTGGGTAATAAAGATTGCTTGGGCAGAATCAACAATTTATTACTGAAATTGAAAAAAATGAATTGAGGGGTGGTCAATTCAAAATTTTCCACATCTGAATAATATAAAGGCTACTCTTTTAAATTGATTCTTTAGATCCTTGTTAAGCAATAAGCAGCGCTTTTTGGAGTATGACTTAAGCTATTTTTGCTGAGAATCAGCTTTTTCAAATTGTCTCTGACTTCTGTTCCAGCTGGGATTGTTTCATTTGCTGTGATTTCAACAGTTATTTTGAATTTTGGGACAATTTTGATTTTTTGCAGTAGATTTACAATAGACAGTAGTTGCACTGGATTTAATGAAGCCGGTATGTTTGGAATGAGGATCGAGCTGGTATGTTTGGAATGATCAGATCCGGTCTAACTCTGGTGTCAAACAGAACCTTCACTGCATCTTGGTAAGAGGTAGCGATTGGGCCCCTTTACACTAATAAACTGTACTGATAACAGAGCTCAAAAATTCAACGTGTGAGCTAAAGTGGTGGAAAGCATAATTAATTACATGTTTGATGTGTCTTTACCTCACATATCAGTTAAATTAAAAAATGTTTGTAGAAATATTTATGATTAAAGGGGTCACTAATATTTTAACTAATTATTAACAGGGCCCCTTTAAGTGGGCAATAACATACGCTTTGACACAATAGCTATGTGTAAAGCTGATAACGGAGGGGAGGGGGGTTTATAATTGTCCAAAACGTGATTATGTAATATTTGAATGGTCCTAAATATGTAATTTTGGTCTTAAAATTAGTAGCCTTGTGTGGCCAACATTTATTTTTTTAAAAGTACGTAGAGACTTTTCAATTTAATTCAAAAATTCTATGTATGATTGATGGTACTTCAAGTCAGGTACATGGTCTGTTGGGTGACTCAAACACTGCACTAATAAAATTTATGTTGTTATTTTCAATCACATTTGAATTATTAATTTGGATGGGAAAATATTTATATATTTTTTCACATAGTCTGATGATACTTTATAGAGATGTGTGATGTTGAATGAATTTTTACTTTACTTATTTTAAGTGTCATAAGCAGTGATGTCACAAAGGGCCCCGCCAACCCCGCTGTGCAAGGGGGTGCCAAATGTCGTTTGAATGTGGGACAATTTTGAAAAACTTAAACTACGGTACTAGCAAAACTGTGCGTTTTGCTCTAGAAACACACTTTTTAAAATATTTTACAGGTGTATCCTCTTAAATCATCTAATTTGTCCAATTTTAGGGAGGGGCGTCAACAGGGGAGGGGGCGCCAACAGGGGTGCTTTTTCAGCAGGGGGGCGCCAATAGGCAACGTTACGCCATAAGTCATAAGTTATGGCTCCACGCCTTAATTGAGAGACAAAATCGCAGAGCTATTAGTTATAGTCTTACAGTGTGAAGTAGTCCATTAGCTTCCTTGTTGCTGGATAGTGACAAAGAGGAACACCCAGATTGGATGCAAAGTTCAAATTTGTAACTTTGACGGCTGGCACTTTACACTTGGCAGTTTTGCTAATGTTTGAAAGAAATAATAGGAAAACAAATTCTAGGAAAACAAATTTAAATTTTGGTATTTATTAATAACAATCAAAACATATCATATCATAGAAATAAAGCCGCGCGTTGGTTGACTGCCTCAGTAAGGTGAATAATTTAAGCTTGAAGGTGCCCTGCGCATTTACAGAACCTTATGCGGCGATCACATATTCATGAGGACCTGTGAGCGCCAAATCTAATTTAAAGTTTCTAGAAATCATACATCACTATGGTGGCCGAGGAGGGTCATTTATTTTTTTTAATATTTTTTTTAATGACCCTCCTCGGCCACCATACATCACTACGAGTTACTCATGATTTTGGATTATAAGAGTGCTGATTGTCAGATATTTCATTCATTCATACTTAATCGGTTTAAAACTGTATATTTAGAACTCACTATTGTTTAAACTACGAAAGCAGAACGTAGATAATGGACAATATACCGACGACAATACAATGATTATTTTATACTAGGTCGTTTGGGTATATTTTATACAAAAAATACGAGACACCTTTGTCAGAAGTCTCTTCCATCTAATCTCATCCCTGCCCCAATGCAGATGGACTAGATGTGTATATAATATTAACTGATTGTTGATATTTCATATATAATATTGGTAGCATTGGACAATTTCCGTTACATCTGTATTTTGCTCTGCCAATTGCATCACTTGACTTAATTTATTGTATATATACTGTTTGACACATTTTATACCTATTTTATACAAGTTATTTATTAAAATTTGAATTATTAAGAATATTTAAGATGATCTAATGTATCAGTATTAATTATGTTTGATTTGATTTGATCTTCCATTAAATCTACAGCCAATAAACACAGGCAGTTCAAATATTAAATTGACGATGTAGTCGAGAACAATTATGGTGAATGTAGTAAATTGGCCAGTTTTTTTTTGTTTTTTAATTAGTAAATTGGCCTTTTGTGTTTTAAGATGATGAAGCGTTTTTTATATAATTATATATAATAATATATATAATAATATAAGTTATAGAGTCCTGTAACACTTTAGTGCTTTGCTCTGGTAACAGGTAAAAATAATATCACATTTGTTATTATACGTTTCAAAGTCGTATTATTGATTATATGTACTTTTCCTGCTGAAGAAATTAATGAAAATAGTATAGTGGCTGTTACTGGGCCGCGCTCAGCCTGTCATTCCGCCTAATCTCTATTAACATTAAAGCCTGGGGTCCTCAGGTAAAGTGGCTGCTGATTGAAATTATCAATAACTGACAGCAGGCTAAATTTTTAATAATAACTCCATATCACTCTATGAAGACCTTGATCATTGAAATAACTTGTCGAAGTTAATAGGCAGCGCTCAGCCTATTTGCTATCATTCCGTCATTTAGCTTTATATTCGGTTTGTAGGTTTATATATATTACTGGGCTTGCTCTAACCAGACCCCTGTCGCTTGCAGTAGTGCGCGACCGCCGAAGGCGGCCATGGAGTATATATTCTACTTGTAAAACAAGCGCGTCACGCAGTACGCGTATACACATGACTATGTGAACGTACGCGTATACACATGGCTATGTGAATTACTGGGCCGCGCTCCGCCTGTCATTCCGCCGAATCTCTTATCTATTCGGTTTATGAATATGATAGCCTCAGGTAACATAATTGCAATTATGTTACCTTGGGACCTCAGGTTCGATGCATGGCGCGGCCTAGTATAATGCATTTTTATTTTACATTTAATTATAGCTTAGCATAAATGTTTATATGTTATAACCTACCTTGTAGCGCGATGCGTTACTGTGCTGCGCCGCGCACTCAATGAGGCTTCTCACAGCGACAGATCGGCGAAATGCGCTACTGTGCCTCGCCGAGCTGCCATGAATTGACATCGTCAATTAATAACCTTCCAAGACGCGCGCCGAATTGGAACAAATATTTTAAGAATATCATCCGTTAATAGTGCAATAGTGCATCACGCTACAATTCAAAAACAAATTACTGACTGTCAGAGCTGCACGTTTGACAGTGGGGCTTCCAGGCTTCCCCATCACGTTATGGACGAAGTTCAACGCAAATTTACCAACCCTCCTCAACACCTTGCTCTATCCAGAGCCCTTGCGCTTGTAGTGGCGCGCGCCCGCCTCACGGCTTGTGAAACAAGCGCGCCCGCAGTGGCACGAAAGCACATGGTTAGGTGAACTCGACACCAATCGTTTGCATCATTTAACCAAATCAGAGAGCGTGCACTCAACGTATCTCTCGATATCTTCCATTCCATACCCCCTCTCCAAGATACTGATCGGACAACACGACATCAAAGTCACCCACTCCTTTACCTGGGGACCCGGACCTCAGGCTATCATGTTCAGGCCAGGCTGAGCGCGGCCCAGTAACCACTCCTCAGCTCAGCTACCTCCTCACCAAGACAAAGACCGGAAGACTCACCACAACGCCTACCTTACTCGGGATTATTATAACCGGGATAAAGTGGTGGGTTTTGGAAGATTCCGCCATATTTTTCCCGGTCATAAAAAACCCGCCGACTCAGATTGTGGGGTTCCAAGGGGATGGTGATCATCATATTTTACATGAAGTCTCATAGGATACAAGGATACAAGGATACAAGGATACAAAAGTGATAATTATTTTATTGAATTCACAATAGTTATAATTCTGAAATAATTTAAGGTTACACAATTCTAGTTATTTACAGATGTGTAGGGATAAAATAGAAATGTTTAATATAATACTATTTTTGAGGTCCTATAGCATTATGCATTGGCCAGTATTTGAGTGGAAATCTGGGCTCTTATAGTAGGCTGTAAAATTTTCGTTCACAGAGAGAATTGAATGGATTGCTCTTGCTGAGGCAGTAAATTTTGAAGGGGCTAGTGTTTTATCGGATAGTAAACCGGCTAGGTCAGTAATATTTTTGGGATGGAAGTTAAATTTTTCTCTAACTGAGGAGTAGAGTAAACAGTCAGTTAGAACATGAATTTCGTCCTCAATAGGCTTAAGCCCCTTGCTGAAAAAGCAAAAAGTGCACCATCGATGTTCTCTTGGTACTAGGGGGGTTTCGTAACGGCCCCTCTCAATGTAATTGTAAAGATTGTGGCAGCTAATACGAAACCTTGTTAAGCTTTTCCGAGCATCGGGGATCTTAACCACTCCTAAGTATGTTTCTGGTTCAAAATCATGTTTAATTTGATTGTAGAATTCTAATTTAGGTGAGGATGCCTTGGCAGATTTCCAGGTATCCACAAATTCTTCCCTCATGTTGTGACTGATTTGGGTAGAGAGCTTGGATTTTGAAGTGGATGAGTGGGGGAAGTTATATTTGGTGAGAAGATTAGAGATGTTGGTGTACCAAGGAAGGCCCAGCATAATCTGCTCGTGAAATGCAGCGGAGAGAAGTTCATTTTCAGTGCTTTCAAGGCGAGTATAGAAATCTATTGCAAGTTTGCAGGCTTCAAAGAAGAGGGGGTGGCGCCCACTTTCGCCCCAGCAGCCTATATTTGATGCTTTTGAATGGACAGACAAGGACCACTTGATAAACTTAAGGTGGAATCTTTCATAGTGGTCTTGTGAGATGTACCTGAGAGTATGCTGGGGGTTGGCTTTGCTATCTGTTTTGGAGAGGTATCTCATGGTTTTTGAGTGAGGACATAAGATTTGGCAGCCATAGAGCAGTATCGGTTTTATTAGAGAGTCAAATAGAATGTTTAGAGAACGGTGAGAGAGGGCATCTTTGACGATATTGCCTTTGAGGCCATAGAGAGCACGGAGAGCCTTGGCCCTCAGTTCAGTATTTGCTGCTGTAAAAGATCCATTTCTGTGGAATATAATGCCAAGATAGCAGTATTGAGTATTTTTCGGTGTGTTGGATGGGCTGGCCTCCCAAAATGAATGTTTCATAGGATTGTTTTCTTTTAGGAGGGCAGAATATGAGAATCTTGGTTTTTTTAAATATTTACTTCAAGGCCCATAGAGTTACAGAAGTCGAATAGGATGTTTATATTGTCTTGCAAGGCCTTGGGACTTAGGGCAAGTAGGACAAGATCGTCAGCCCAGAGCAGATGTGATATTAGGACGTCAGCTAGAATAGGATAATCACCAACAGATTTCAGGAGAGATGACAAGTCGTTGATATAGATTTTAAAAAGGTCCGGTGATAGAGGGTGTCCCTGCTCTGTTCCTTTTCCAATGTCAATATTAGGGGACAAGAGTTTGGAGATTTTTATATGAGCTATTGAGTTTCTATACATATCACTTAGGCAATTGAAGAAGTTTCCAGTTATTCCAAGGCATGTGATTTTGTGCAGAAGGAGGTCCCTACATACAGTGTCAAAGGCCTTTCTTAGATCAACAAAGCATGCATAGAGACGAGCTTTCTTAACCTTGGTATATTTGTCAATGACTGTCTTAAGGGTAAAAACGTGGTCATTTGTTTGAGCACCCTTCGAGAACCCTAGTTGTTCTTTTGGGTCAGGGCAGTAGAGCTTTTTGAAGTGCAGGAGACGCTCAAGTAAGATGCTAGAAAACAGTTTACCCATACAGCTACCAACAGCTATTGCTCTGTAGTTGTCCAGGCTGAAAGGGTTGCCAGACTTGTAAATAGGAGTAATGATGCTGGTGTGCCATGGATAGTAACCGGAGACCAGTGAGTGGTTGAAGTTTTTGAGGATGGCTTTGAGACAAAGCGGAGTTACGCTCTGAAGCATCTCGTTGGATATCAAGTCGTTTGAGCAACTTTTACCTTTTTTGAGATTTTTGATGGCAGAGGTCACTTCAGATTCTGACATGAGCTTATTTAGGATATCCAGATCTGGTGGTTCAGGGTAATGTTTGTGATTGTGGTGAGTGAGATCTGGCTCCTGGTCTGGTTTTTTATAAAGGGATGCAAAGAAGTCATGGAAGCTAGCTAAATCAAATTTGTCAAGTAAGGGGCTAGTGTCATGTTCTTGTTTAAGCCGTTTAAATTTTTTCCAGTCGAGTATGTGACCTTCTTCTATAGCTTCATTTAACTTCTTAAGAAAAGCTACTTTCTTACTGTTTACAAAATTGCTATGCTTGTTGCGTTGCTTAAAATATTCTAGTCTGAGGATACTGTTACAGTGCTTACTACCAAGCCGATTTGCTAGCCTATTAAGGTTCCGCCGCGAGGAGTTGACTTGTGGGTCGAACCATTTTTTACGGGCAGAATTTTTGGGAGGCTTTTTCACTTTTAAGGCTATATCAGCAGCACTGTGGAGACATTTTATGACTGCATCGTTCAGTTCGTGATTGCCCTCCAGAGTACTGCTAAATTCATTTGTCACAATGCTTTCCAGATTGTTGATAATTTCGGGAGAGGTAAGGGCTTTTTTAAATAGTGAATGGGAGGTGTTGCTGTCCCACTTATAGCCACAAGGAAAGTTAGAAAAGTCTGGGAGCTGGAAGTTTGCGACAAATGGTTCAAATGTAGTGAGTTTCAAGACTAATGGACAATGATCAGAGTATGATGTAAACTCTTTTACTTGGAGAGAGTTTACATGATCTCTTGCCCATGAGGTGATTACAAAATAGTCGACCACACTGCTTCCATTGTATTTGTGACAGGTCATTTTTCCAGTGGTGTCCCCAAGGGTACGACCATTAAGAATTTTGAGTTGGTTATTGATAACCATGTCAAGGAAGTGTTGGCAGTGGGGTTCAGATATTGTAAGGTCAGAATTGTTTCTTGGTTCTTCTATGTCGTGCTCGAGTCCAATGTCGTTATAGATATGTGCTAGAGAAGACTTTTGAAGCAGTGGATGGAGGGCTGTAACTTTATTGGCGGTTGCTACCATAATTTCGTTATAAAAATCACAATTTGGTTATAGAAATCAGATTTCAGGGTGGACCGTGATCCTCACTTTTCTTGCCCATGAAGTGAGTAAACTGTGCCACTATTTCATGGTCCACGGTGGATTGATTACTGGAGCAGTTGAAGATGCAAAGCCAAGACGTTCCCCAATACCAAGCGGTGGGCAGAAAATTAAGCTCCGGCTGACCTTCAGAGCAGTAGCCCCATTAGCGGACAAAATGAAAGTCTTGTTAAGACAACAATACAACTTCGAATTTGACGGTCAGCAGCAGTGAGCAGGGGGATATCAATAATGATAATGGAGGGGACATTAGCGATAATGAGAATGAGAATACGCTTTAATGAAGATTTGACTTATTATTGCTATAGATTTATTTTCCTTTAAATACTAGACGTGTCTTTTTTTCTATTTCTGAGTAATATCAGTAACTGTAAATTGAAATAACTTCTTTAACAAGTAACAAAAACAGAAATTTCGGTTGAAAATTTGTTGACCTCTGAAAAAAAACTTGAAAGGTCGGCCACCGGTAAATACATGACCGGGATAATTTGGCGGGTTTTGGGAAATTCCGCCATATTTTTCCCGGTTATTAATTTTCCCAGTCATAAATTAACCCGCTATAATATTCCCGAGTAAGGTACTCAATTTTACCTGGCCGGCAAGCTGCAGTCCCTGTGCGCGGCGCTCTTTTAAAGCTTCCTGAACAGGAATACGTGAGAGAAGCGAGCAATATACTAGCAGGCTCAAGGCTAGGGCAGGTAAACTCAATCTCGCAAATTTTATTTCCTGTCCCTACGAACTGTGAGTAAAAACATTAGACTTAGAGACGTTAGACCAAATGAAAAACTATCTTGTGTTAATTAAAATTGAAAACATTGCAACCGGGGATTAGAATTAATCTTTGGAGACATAGATATGTATTGACATTATCAATTATGATCACATTTATATACAACAATTTTGTACTACCTATTATTACAATTACCATTACATTTAAAATTTGAAAAAAATTGAAATTTATCGTATGATTCATAATCTGTGATCTGAGATCGTGTTAACGCTAATTAATATTATAACAGTCATGACTAGCGTCACTGATCAAGTCAATATCTTTAGCAGCAATAAAATGCAAAATATTTTGCATTATAATCAACATTTTACAACAAGTGAAGATCTGGAAAAATCGTAGTTATCAATCGATACTAACAATACCAAATACTAAAACAATACAGGTAAAAGCCGGGAACTTTGTGTCATCGCCATTTTGCCATCGAAGTCTTGGACGAAGAGTCGTTAAAAACATGAAATATTTTGATGAAAAATCATGTCCAAAACCCAAATATTTGGAATGGATGGCAATCAGCAATGACACATCCAGCTGCCATCACACTCAACTAAACCATAAGATAGATAAATCAATCATCAAAATATTCTCAGTTTCTGTTGATCGGTATCTCAAATAGCCCTTCAACATACTGAAAGAGCCCCTAATATGACTTTCGTCACACTAATCAATCGTCTGTTTTCAAACACATTAAACATCTACGAAGAGTCCCTGCTACTTGAATTCCCTTTTCTATACAGTTAGCTCACGACTCACGACTCACGTGGAACACATCACACGGCTTTATACACGTGTTTTACTTGGCGGCGCTCACTGCTCAGCCTGGGGTCCCCAGGTATAATACACGTGTTATACCCAGAACCCACGTGTTATACCCAGTACCCACGTGTTATATCCAAATAAGGAAATATCCAGGGAGGCTTATCACACGACTTCAGGGTCCGGCAATTTAGCCAGAGACTTACGAGGGGAACTGGGAGTGCCGCTACTAGACCCGCTGGTAGAGCCACCCTTCCTCCTCGAATTACTGAGTGACGTCACGTCACGTGGTGTGACGTCATGACTCTTCTCCGAACCACTCACAGACGAGGCGGCGGAGGATTCAGGGGAGGTTGGGAGTTTGGGGATTGATACGTTACTTTTCTCGGCTTTACTTTTGCCTATGTTTGGGCCTGGGTAAAAGAGGTCAGTTATAGTCTTAGAGATCTCTCAATTTCCTGAATAGAGTTCATGTCATTGAATTTTTTCTTATTACCCCATAATTGTTACTTGTTTCACACGTGAAGTTATAGTTAAAATACCCACCCTTATTCTGTAATGTCACCTCAAGTTGTGTGTTCGAAGGCTGTAAAATATCGTTAATTAAATAATCTACAGTATTGAGATAATGAATGAATGAAGTAAAACAGCTATCTACATATAACTTTAGCGTGAAATCAGCAACACAGCAAATCACTATCAGCATGAGAAATAAAACAATCTCCAAATTTGTAAGCAAGTTTTGTGCCAAATAGAATTTAATTTTAGTAGAACTGTAATATCCAATTTTAATGATTCAATGAACTCCATTCAGGACTTGGTTTAAACCAAAAGTAAAAAACAATGTAAGAACTCCCAATTCAATTAATTTAAGATATTAAATAATCTGTCCCAAAAATATTTTCAAAAAACACGGAAATTGGAAAACATGCTCTCCTCTAACTTGTCAGATGATTTAAAAGCCAAAGAACAACATTTAGTTACCTTTCTTAAGTGCAGTAGAAGTGACCCGAGAGTTTCCGAGGAATGGTTCTTCAGGTATGCGGCCAGGCATGTCGAGCACGTGGGATAACTTGAATCCCTTCAGTTTTTGTAAACTTTCTCTGCCTTGTTTCAGGCGAGTTTTTGCAGCAAAGCATCTGATGTGGTCCTCAAACTGAAATCTGAAGGAAGGGTTCAATCAAAATGAAGTCAAGTATAACTTTATATTGGAGTTAGATTTATCTTGAAGAGAAAAGGTTAGGGTCGTTCATGTATCACTGAAGGGGAGGGAGGGGGTTTCTAAATGATTACACTAGTGTAATTTGAACCGAATAGCTACGTATAAAACTGGTCACGAAGGGGGGAGGGGAGGGGACCGGGGGTGATAACATAAACGGTAATATGTGAACGACTCCTTAGCTTATGGCATTCTCTTAGCTCGAAATAACATACCGAAGGGCATATAAATATATCTGCTAAACTAACGAGGTTTAAAAAACTAACTTGGCTCTGAAGGAGAAGTTGTTAGATCCGCTCTTTTCAATAGTGACGAGCAGGTTACGATTATTATCCTTGTCTGGCCTGGCGTCAACACACTGCAGTGGAGCCACAAACTGGACGATACCATACCCTGAAACATTGGATATATTATCACAGGGTATAGAAGTGCCACTCACAACTCACAAGGCTTGGTTGGAGAACTTGGCTTGGTTCCAACACTAGAGGAACCCTTTTGCACGTCATCTTCAATGGCCAACGTGGTAGCGTCCTTAGGGATTTTCAGTTTTGGTTGCACGATTACTAGTGGTTTAACTAACCTAATCTCCCAGGCGCATTGTCGGGTTCTACCAGTATCAGTTGATGAGTATCAATAACAAGGAACCTCTTCACCTGGAGCAAAAAGTCTAGGGTAAGAGGCAAAAAATGAATGGATACATTTCAAATAACTTCTTTTTTTCATAACATAATATTATCATAATTCTTCATTTGAAGAAATCAAACGATCTTAATTATTCGTTTTAAATTATTACAAAATTTCAGCCAGCCACAAAGCAACAGTTAAGCGAGCCAGAATACGATTTTATATCAGACATTTACAGCTCGTTTTATGTAACGATGTTGGTCAAAACAAATATGTTCAAAATTCAATCATTAGAATAGTCAAGTGATTTGAAAGATTGTTTTTCGCTTTAATAATATCAGAAAACACAAGATTACGGTTGACGAATAACTCACGGGAGAACGCATGTTACTAAGGAGCATACTTGCAAAGCCCTGTATTTTTGGTATGAACATCACAATATACAGCGGGGGGGTTAGGACTTAGGGGGTCATTAATATTGTTATACGGTTAGAGGGTCATTAAATCGGGTAAACCCCCCTCAAATCCTTGCTGAGAGCAGGAACACCTAATATTGGGGGGGGGGGGGGGGGCCAACCATATTAAAGTATATTAAAATGTAGGATTTTTTCCAATTTTGACCCGGGGATATACTTTAATATACTTTAATATACTTTAATATACTTTAATATACTTAAATGTACTTTAATATACTTTAATGTACTTTAATATACTTTAATATTCCTACATTTTCTCTATTAAAATTTTGAATCCATATTACTTACCATATACTTGACCAATTTATGAGCCAAAATATATGAATTATGAGTTCAGGGGACTAGCAACTGGCTTATCTTCTAATCTACTAATTGTAGGTATATTAAAGTATATTAAAATGTAGGTTTTTTTTCCAATTTTGACCCGGGATATACTTTAATATACTTTAATATACTTTAATATACCTACATTATAAAAAATTATGTGAAAAGTTTTGTTGTATTTAATGTATAGATTAGATTTACCTTTCATGTAAAGTTAGTCTTGTTCAAAGATATTGATACTTGACCAATTTATGAGCCAAAATATATGAATTATAAGTTCAGGGGACCAGTAATTTGCTTATCTTCTAATCTACTAATTGTAGGTATATTAAAGTACATTAAAATGTAGGATTTTTTCCGATTTTGACCCGGGGATATACTTTAATATACTTTAATATGGTTGGCCCCCCCCCCCCCCAATATTACAGTAACCCTCCAATATTCCCCCATACTATAGTTGAATTCTACGAACGCACCAAGTGTTATAATTTCATGTACCAGTTCCCTACTTCAGAATTCGTTACATTTGATCTTATGTAGAGTGTAGACGAGGCAATTAATTTTACACTATTGAGTCAGATAAATATCATACGATAAACAAGCTAGATTAACTAACGCACAAAAATGATCTTACCACGTCATTTTCAGAGATAACCGCACAAGCTATCAGATCGCTGTGGTTCAGGTTTAAAATGTCTCCTTTTGTAACTTGCAATGAAAGATTGAGCAACGGTAACTCCTGTTCTTCTTGACCCACAGCCTGATAATGTTTAGATTAACTACTATATTTAGTGAAGAAATATTCTCTGAATAGTGGAAGAAAAATAATTCGTGGAAGAATTAGCTTCTAGTTTCTAGTTTTGATAGGTCAGCTGATAATCTAGAGGTGTGGTAAGTTTTACATAGAGTCATTATTGGTTAATATACCTCAAGCCATAGGCGTCGAATTGTAAAGAACACCATAAGCGACTTTCTCATTTTCTCAAAATCACCACAAGGCAATCTCTTCGTAAAGTCGATACCTGAGCATATTAAATTATTGGTTTCAATAAAATCTGTAATAATCATATTCGCAACATGTTGTTTTCTTGCTCGGATACCTTTTACCCTGTGACGTCAACTGAGCTCATTATTTTTTGACAAAGCTGTGATGGTAGGAAAAAATCAATCTACCGCAACGTAACTGCTGCCAATTTTTCGTAGTCATATGTTTACAAGAACACTGAACACAGTGAAACAGGTTAGCGTAATCATTATCATAAAATTGTTGGAAAATGTAACTGAATAATTGTGTTATCACTTATCTGTGTTTGTCAAAACTTCCTAAATGTATGCTGAGGATACTCCCTTAGGATACGTTAGGGCTCCTAGGGAAGTAGGGGTACTACTAAGGGTACTACAGCTAGGCGAGTAGGGGTACTGTTGTTCCATGTAAGGTCTGATTACTAAGCCGGAGCTAAGATGACGTCACAGGGTATAAAGGGCAGTGTACGACACATGAAGAATACGATCACGTGACCGATGTGAACAAGGTCACGTGTACAACAGTTAACTATAAAGTTTAAATTCCAAAAGATCAGCCATCAGTGTACAACTCTAAAATTATGATGAAGATTTTGCCACGGATGGGATACGCAATACGTGCCTGGATCTTTCTATTTTCTAAGCTATATCGCGGTGCATTAATACTCACGTGCGCGGCTAAATTTCATTACAAGATTTCGCCAAAAACTAGTTGTAGCAGTTGCAAAAGTTTATTATTAGTCCGGTCGCATGATTTTGTGGATATACCACAACAGTTTAGTAAAGCAACAAACAAACTCGTTTATTCAACATATTTACAAACCTGTGAGTGGAGTGTAGACTGGTCCTAGTAACATACACTCATCCCCCATCAAGTGTGCCACATTCGTTGGGCGACGTTTATTGAATGCTTTGAATTCCTCGTCGAACAATTCCACAAACAGTGTGTTGTCCTCTCCTGAAAAAGTGGCGTTCTTGTCTAATGAGATATTCGGATATTGACTATAGCACATACATATATTTCTATAGAAGTTAAGGACTGTGTCCATGTATCACTACATTCACTAGGGTTAACTAGGTTGATATAACACCTGCGACCATCATAATATAAGTACATTGGATACACGAGTTAACGAAAGCGAAAGAAAGAAAGGGGCCGATGTAAGATGTGGGCTGTATTGAGGGGGTTTCAAAGGATAAAATCTAGGGTTTTTGAGATTTCTGAAGATGATTAGAATTGAGACTGGAGGGCCAAGGATAGGAAAATTCATTAGAGACGATATTTTCATATTATTATTCTTTTAGCTATTTATTTTATTGTCAAAAGGAAGTCTCAAGCTTGCATTCCCTAAAGTACCCATACTGATTACAAAACCTCCTCATCTTGAAACACTGTGTATTCCTCAGCTCATAACTCTGTGACATAGTGTAGAACGTACGGTAATGACTCTGCAAGCAAGTGTGTGCACATGGAACAGTGTTTGCACACATCTCTAATTGCTTACACGCTTAATTATAAACATACATCTGCTCAATGATTTGTAATACGCACATGTCAGCCATTATACGGAATCAATTAGGATTCAGGACATGATTATTATTGTCTATTACACTGGTAAGAAATCTCGTGTACAAATCTACGAGATACATTGTTAAAGATAAATCAGAAACTCTGTGATAACATTCTTCAAATAGTTGAAGAACACCCTTACCTGTGTAAAAGTTCCTGAGAAACCGCACAGAATTCTCTTTGACTGCAGTGAGAACAGCTAAGTGGTTATCATGAAGGAGCACTCTGTTTTCGTAGGTGGTCAACACGCGCAGTAATCTATCTGCTAATTCCACTGTTACTAACCTGGTGGCATATCATTATTCATTACTCTCCCTTGTAAGATATTTGCATACAGGGTATTTTCTGAAGGATTATCTACCCACCATTTTATTTGTGAGCTGTATTTATACAACAGTTTATAAACCGTTCAGGTCTCATACCTAATAATTATACCTAATATTACCTAATAATTTCACGCACGTAAATTATGGGTGGTCACACTCGTTATGAATACGGAGCTGCGACACCTTCCCTTAAAGTAAGAATCAGTACAATGCACACGAAGATATTGTAGTACATACTTACGACAGAACAAGAATTTGCACTATTTGTGGGAATTTATAAAAAAGTAAATAAAAAAAAAACATACCTGACACAGCCGTCAACATGACAAGACTTATCAAGTAGGTTTAACAATCTATCAACAATTCTATCATCGTAGTAGTAAGGAGCGGGCGGGCGGTGAGGCATTGATTTGTTAGTGAACATGGCGTACAATAGAGCTGCACTGAACAGTGCTTCTACGTCATCTTCACCCAGCTGAGAATTATATTAACTTACTTTTCATCTAACAAATTATTCCTTATTCAATGTCCATTTGCAAACATCATATTCTCACACCTGAGAAATAAAATCGATATGAAACCCATTTTATCCTAACATCTCAGAGATAAGAATCGGCGTTACCTCTAAACAGCTGAGTAAAGCATCGTAGAAGATACAGCTTCTGGTTGGTGGGCAGTGAAAGGCGTCCGCAAAGTGAGACGTGTCCGAGGTCTTTGTAGGGGTGAAAAACAGGTCCTGAAAAACAAACTTTAAGAAACCAGTACAACAGGTTACTGCTGTCAAGGAAAAACTATTACAGTAAAACCCCGATTTACCGCGGAGTTTGGGGGAAAGGAAACATCCGCGGTAAATCGGGGTTCGCGGTAAATCGGGGTTTTGTGTGTTTACATTATACATGTTAAGCCCTATTTGGGGGAAAGGAGATGGCCGCGGTGTATCGGGGTTTGCAGTAAATCGGGGCGCGGTATATCGGGGTTTTACTGTAATATGTATAATAGTGGTCAAAACTATACTCATAAGAAACGTAAAACATGCAAAAATATTCTTTTAATAGGCATCTTGTGAGTAACAGATAAGTAATGACAAAAAGGTAACCTCAGCAGAAGCGGTGGTAGGTAGTTTAGGGGGTGTAGCTGGCCTAGTGGGTGGTTCTGATGACAACTCCTTGTTAACATCTTTCAGAGTCTGGTTAACATCCTGAATCTCTACATCTGATAACGTTATCGTAGTGTCGTTATCAGAGTACTGTGTTTTGTCCTCGTCTGTTACAGGCTTATCAGCGGAGTTACCAGTTCTTGTTCCTGCCTTATCTTCTGCCTTATCTCCTGCCTTATCTGTATGATTGTTATCTTGAGTGTTAGAAGTACTGCTTTGTTCCTCCTCTGTAGTTGTAGTTGACAAGGGTGCGAGCACTTTCTCAGACTGAAACGCACCATTCTCAACTGAATTACCAGATGGTGACGGTGACGGTGGTTGAAGGGTGGGTGACTCAGGTTCGGGGGACCGGAACTCTGCAGTAGTAACCGAACTGTTTCCCTGAACTGCAGTGTCAGTGTCCACACTACGAGGCTCTGTCTCCAGAGAAGCAGAGTGACTGAGAGTGGAGTCTGATTCCAGGTTGGGGGATTGAGATCTCACGTCATGTGACACGTCATGTGACTGATCATGTGCATTGTTATTGTGAGCCGGATCCTGGTTTTCAGCAGCCACAACATCTTCAATATCCTGGGCTATGTTCTCCATCGTCTCACTGCTCACAATTCCTGTATAAAACCACATGTATTAGTATTGAGTATGAATTCGAAGAACCTGTGATAAAGTTAAAAATAACTGAAATTCTTACAATACACTGTATTGTTAATTCATCTGAATCACGCTGTAAGATTCTGGATAAATGCCAAAACATTACATGCTGTTCAAGAATTCCAATTTGATCAGTTGTATCAATTAGACTTAATTATGAATAAGCTCATATTTCACGCAAAATTCTGCCAAGAGAACTCCTAAAGTAAACTGAAACTTGTTTTCGGCATTTCTGTGCATCAAATTACTCATACATTATCAATTATCATGTACTATGTCAAGCGTACATAAGTCACGCACAGTACTGTAAAACATGGAGGACCTTGCAGTCTTCTGCCTTATCAGCAGTGTACACTGTGTGTCATATATTAATGGTGATAAATATAATATCATTGCATCAATCAATTATTTATTTTAGATAAAAGATGAAATCATCGGATAAGTAATTATAATTTTTAATGGCTTCAATCTATAAGATAGTAAGTGATAATTTGTTAACCATATAATATAATAGATAACCCAGAATGTAACCCACCTGAATCTTCAGAAACAGGGTACTCCATGTTACCAGCTTCATTTCCAGGCTCCTCCAACACTTCTCTATCTGTCACGTGATCCTCCACGTGGTTCTCATCAGGTATCACGTGACTTGTCTCAGGGGTGTTCTTGTAGTTATCTGGAGTAGAGAACCCATCCAGAACATCAGGAGTTGTGGTGGAGCTGGTGCTGTCTAGTTGGGGGACTAGGCTGGAGGTGGAGGGTGGGTCTAGTTGGGGGACTAGGCTGGAGGTGGAGGGTGGGTCTAGGCTGGAGGTGGAGGGTGGGTCTAGGCTGGAGGTGGAGGGTGGGTCTAGGATGTCTATAAAACTCTCTGTTCTACTGCTGTTCTCGCTGTTCTCACTGTTCTCACTGTCTGTTAGGAGAGAAGAGGAGGGTTAGAATGGGAAGAGGAGAACATGTATCGAGTAATAATCGTAGGGCATGAGATTTTGAGATCTACAGAAACTTTAGATTGGCGAAAAAATTCAGAGGAAAAACAAGAAATTCACAGAAAAACAAGAAACTCCTTGGAACTGACCAACATAAACAGCCTCACTATACGCACTGCTCTCCTTGCTAACTGTACTAGACTCTCTACTCCTTGCATCTCCTGGTACACTACTGTTCTTTAGTGAGGCCACTCTGTGTACTTTAGTTCCCAGTAGTGGGTCTATCCCTGCGTCTTGGGAAAACACTGTTACTTGTCAGTTAAGTAAAAGTGAAACACTGTTACTTGACAGTTAGGTGAGAGTGAAAGTGAAACACTTTTACTCGTCAGTTACGTGAAATTTGAGAGAGAGCTAGGTTGTCACTTCACTTACAAAGTGGTGGTTGTTATGCAGGGTTACAAAATTTTTAACACACTAAATACCTTAAATACCATTAAATAATACACTAAATACCTGGGTCGAGGATGCTCTTCAGATAACCAGTCTGACTAAACGTTTGCTTTTTCTGGTATTTTTCAAGATCCTTCATTCTGGATTCTTCTTGGAGTCTTTTTGCTTCTCTTTCTTTTAGTTCTTGCTTGTGCTCCTAGAACAGCCACGTTTTTAACATTATGTTCAACTTCAAGTTACAAAAATTATTATAGATTATAATATGAGAATGTAATATTAAAATCAAGAAAATATAACTGGATTTTTCATCGAGATCACTTTCTACCTTGGCGAGTCGAGTTGGTTGTAAGTTCTGTTTATTTTTAGGTATAACAGCAGGATTGAAGGTCTCCTGAATTCGATGGCTTGGTTTTGTAAACCTTCTCAACGTATCTGAACTCTCCTAAATAATTAATTTTTTAATTGTGCATAATTTGAGCAGACGTATCTTTTGTGTAACATATGTGTGACCGAAAGATGGAGACTCTTGGGTTAAAGCCTATTCATTCTTAATATAATTATAGCAGTGAAACATGTACTAGGTTAGGGTTTTCCCCGAAACTGATATAAAATGAAAGTGGAAGTGAAAGTGAAATATACCAAGTTAGGGTTCTCTTCAAAGCAGATGTAGAGTTTGAGCTGTTTGACAAGGGGAGGATGGGTAAGGATTAGGAAGACTTGCGAGAGAAGGAAGAGTGCACACTTTACACTAACTTGCGGGGAGTCAACCTGGAAACAGTCATTAACAGGTCATTATCATGTGATTAGCAGGTCATTATCATGTGATTAGCATGTCATTAACAAGTAATTAACTAAACACTAGTCATATAATAAGACGGATAGATCTAACACTACTTCGATATTTCCTTATCCCTCCTGTCGACGAACTTCTAATATCCTTATCAGACATCAGTAACAATCAGGAACAATACAGTCAAGCTAAATATAGCAGACAGCTACTAACCTTAAGACTTGGATCCAGTGAGTAGACGTAAAGAGGTATGAGCAGAGTATTGAGGAGATGTTCACATAACATACTGTTCAGAGACTGCATTTGTAGCAACATTATATCGTGTACATAGTGCATGTCATCTAGATGCAGTGCAACCAGGGACTCCAGTTTATTTCGGGTGAGATGTGTTGCTTCGGTTCTCAAACAGCGCTCCATCATTAATACGTTGTTGCCTGTTGCAGGAGAGGGGTTCACTTTCATTTCTCATTAAAAACATTGTGGTTGTTACAGTAAATGTGAGTGTTGTGCTTACATATGAGAACAATCTAGAAGCTCTATAATGATGTGAAATATTGTGCTATTAATATTAGAATACAATTTTAGAGAGAAAGGTTGTATTCAAATGAAAGAGCAATAGTCACATTTAATATTATAATATTGTGTTCAAGAACAGAAGATCCAAAATTTAATTTGTTTTAATTTTTATCAATAAACGTTTGTACATTTAAACCAGATAGTAATAATATGTGTTAATGAGACAAATTGCAATAGTTTCACTTTCACATAACTATAGTTTCACTTTCACGTACCAATGAACCATACGAGGTTACTGAAATAAGGTGCGGCTGTTTTGTCGTGGATAAACTTTATAATCGCTTCGTCTCCAACCTGAGATTAACAAAATAATAAGTACAACAGGATTTAATCGTCTACTAGATCACGGGTCAAGAACAATACTACAAGTATACCGCACTGGGGGTAGGGGTTAGGGGTCATAGACACTTTCATCTGCGACAATTGTTGGAACATGTGGTGAGTTGCAATGACACCATCCCTTAACTCAAATACGGATAAAACAAAGGGTTAATAATAAAACAAAGGATTGGTTTTATTTGCCGTAACATCAATTATTGATAAAGACAAACTAAAAACACCCAAGCACGTGCCTTTTATTAAAGTTAGAACTTGATGGGTGCCAAACATTTGGCAATTAAACTTACAAACTCTGAGCAACTAAAATCTAAATCACATGTATCTTCATACAAAGATTTGTATAAAGTAGTTGTACAAACATTGCGTCAGCAGTGCAGAACTAAAAACAAGAACAGAAACAACTCATTATTCTAGTTTTGTTGCTCTAACCTGATAAACGTTAAGAGTGAGAGTTCTGACTGCAATTCTAACCATACTCTCGTTATGGTTAAAGAACTTGATAGCTTCTGTATAGAGTGGAAAATCACGGAGATGCTGAAATAATGAATGAATGAAATAACTAATCAATCCAATACTTTCATTTTACTAACCGCCATTTTATTTAATGGTCATGTCAAAACACCCCGTTAAAATATGCTGTATTGTGGCTTTAACCAGAAACTGAAATCATTGTCCAAATTGTTCATGGAACAGTTAAACTCCAATATTCCTCAGGGCTCAGAGTTTGGGGGAAAGGAAACAGCTGCGGCAAATTGGTGGCCGGGGTGCTGTAAATCGGGGTTTTACTGTACTGTATGGCAAAAGCATCTTACCTCATTATAGAAGAAATGGATGGTGTTGCTATTCAGTTTGAGGGACAGGGTCTTCAGAAAAGATATGTAGTATGCCATGATCTCCTCGTCAGAAAAGTCGAATTCATGACAAATTACTGAGTTCACATGGTTGTTTGACAGGAGAAAATCTGCGGATATAAAAACAATAAAAATCTGCAAATCAGCGGTTTTTGGCAATGAATATTCAACATGTTTAGAAGTAGGGGATATACAAGTATTGAGTAAAAATGTGTAAAAGAGGTCTGAACTTACAAATAGAAGTTTCATTTCTGATGTTCTCGAACAAGATGTTGAGTGTTTGCAGAAGCTGGGTACAAACGTAAGCTCCACATTTTGGCTGCTCAATGATACTCAAGAAATAGCTTTGGATACCCTTTTCCAAGAAGAAACTGAAAATAAAATGGTGTAAGCAGTGTTGAAAGGAAAGTACAATATTAACCGAATTTATTTAAGCAAGATCACTTTATCTCTGTGGGATACATAAATAAAAAGGTGTTCTAAATAGCTAGAAGATACTTACTCAAATACTCTAGGGTCATTCTGGTCACCCCAGATGACAGTTTCTGCGATGGAGCGTAAAACTTCAACAATAAGTGTTTTATTATTATCAGTGACTATGGAGTTCTTTACTAAAACTGAGTAGAGGGACCTGCAGAAAGAATAATATAAATAAATGTTAAAGCTATGCAATGAAATGTATTAATGCTTATGATATCAATCTGGATTCATTTTGATAAATATGTTAATACCTCTTGTGGTCTTATTGTACTTACTTTAACAAATCAAGAGAAGGGGACTTGTTCTGTTTAACAACTGTTCCGAACCATGATCTTCTCATTATTAATCAGTGCCATTTTGTCATGATGCTACCTAACATTGGTGACATAGCATTAAGTAAACAACAATAGCAGAAAATTCATTAAGGAATTGAAGTTTGATTAAAGAATATAGCTTAATTAAGGAAAACAAATTTTAAGGAATACAAATTTGAATTTTGATCTTTATTACAGATTAAATATATCATAGATAAGCATAAAAGCCATGCGTCGGCTGATTGCCTCCAGGGACAAAAGGATTTCGCGGCATGTACGAAACCGCGAAATTTCCCTTTCTCCGCGACAAATCGCGATTTTTTATGTTTTCCGCGACAGACCGCGAAATCTCCCATTCTCCGCGACAAATCGCGATTTTTTCAGTTTTTCGCGAAAAATCGCGCATTTTCCTTTAAATCTGAAGACCAAATTTGTGCATTATCTTTTAAATCTGGGGACCAAATTTGCGCATTTTCCTTAAAATCTGAGGACCAAGTTTGCGTATTTTCCATAAAATCTGCGGGCCAAATGTCACGTTTTCTACAAGTATATGAAACCAATCACATTTTCAGCCTTCCGTGAGTTCTGATTGTAGGTACATTCTCGATACATATAACATACCTCTGAAAGTGAAGGCGGAGCTCCCGCTTCCGAGCTCATATTGCGAAAGGCCAGGGAGGCCTGCCTTCCGAGATCGCATTACAAGGGGAGCCCTCGAGTCCAATATCGTGTATCGAAGGGTATGTGTGACCTTTGAAAAACGAAAAAATTTTGTCGGCTCATAATGATCAGGGTAGCATGAAACATGAACAAAAGTAGTTTCCAGAAAAACTTTGAAAAAATTTTGACTTAGAAAATTTTCGGTCCGAGTCATTCTCGATACATACTTCTGAAGGCGGATCTCCCGCTTCCGAGCTCATATTGCGAAGGGGAGGCCTACCTTCTGAGATCGCATTACAAGGGGAGCCCTCGAGTCCAAAATCGTGTATCGAAGGGTATGTGTGACTTTTGAAAACCGAAAAAATATTTTTGGCTCATAATGATCAGGGTAGCATGAAACATGAACAAAAGTAGTTTCCAGAAAAACTTTGAAAAAATTTTGACTTAGAAAATTTTCGGTCGGAGTCATTCTCGATACATACATCTGAAGGCGGATCTCCCGCTTCCGAGCTCATATTGCGAAGGGGAGGCCTGCCTTCTGAGATCGCATTACAAGGGGAGCCCTCGAGTCCAATATCGTGTATCGAAGGGTATGTGTGACTTTTGAAAACCGAAAAAATATTTTTGGCTCATAATGATCAGGGTAGCATGAAACATGAACAAAAGTAGTTTCCAGAAAAACTTTGAAAAAATTTTGACTTAGAAAATTTTCTGTCCGAGTCATTCTCGATACGTACATCTGAAGGCGGAGCTCCCGCTTCCGAGCTCGTATTGCGAAGGGGAGGTCTGACTTCCGATATCGTATATGGAAGTTGACCAGTAGACATATAAAACTTGACCAGACGACATAAAGTTGACCAGTAGACATATAAAACTTGACCAGACGACATAAAGTTGACCAGACGACATAAAGTTGACCAGTAGACATACAAAACTTGACCAAACGACATAAAGTTGACCAGAAGACATACAATGGATTAGGAAATCGAACAGTAGGTTAAATCAGTGTTGTTATTGAATCGTCACTTGTCAGATATTTCGTCATCGATAACGTCATCGTTATTTGCTTGGTATTGTAAGTGACGTGCAGCCGATGTCTTTTCTTATGTTTCTCTAGACTGTTAGGGCTTCTGTCCGGATGGTTGTGGGGCCCGTTGAAACTTAGAAGAAGACTTCTGTTCTTGTCTGTGGTAATGGTGGCAGGACAATTTCTATTCCTCGCGTGGTATTGGTTACATCTGTAACTGATGTTGTTTTTCAGCTCCGATCGTTGCTGAAACAGGTTGTCTTCGTGAACAACCATGGGCTTACCACGGGATGTGGTTAAAACTTCAAGAAGGTTCGTGCAAGGGACTGGGGAAAGGATGTCGTCAAGGTTTATATAAGCTTAGCTTCGAGGGGTAGAGGTTCGATGCTAGGTAGGGATAGAGGAATAGGATTGAGAAGGTCGTAGTATTCCATTGCTATCGTTGTGAATTGCAGATGGTCGAATGATGATGTCTCCTGTCGTCTGTTGAAAGTTATATAGTATTGATAACGAGATTCGTCATACAGTACGTATGACATTGCAACATTTGAGATCATGTCAAAGTTATGGTAGCTCTCGTAACTCGTTGTTATGGACCCCCATCAGCCTGTATCACATCATATGATGAGATCACATCCTCATGGGACATGAGCCGATCAAATAGAATAGTCAAAGAATATGTGAACTCTAACTAAGCACTGTAAATACATTATTTTTTGCCGCGAATTCGCCGCGATTTTTCGATTTGTTGCCGCGAATATGCCGCGATTTTCGGAATTCCCGCCGCGAAATAGCCGCGAATTAGCCTAGTTTGGCTTGTCGCGGTGCCGCGATTTTTGGGCAAAATTACCGCGAAATCCTTTTGTCCCTGATTGCCTCAACTTGGATTAATAATAATTTCAATTGGTAGAAGCTGAAGGATGGCAGCTCAAAAGGCCCAGTGCACCATCGACAAGATCAAGGACTTGAGTGCCAATAATGGCTTTTCCAAACCCCTTTTCGCCGATCGGCTGAGTGGTCCTACTGCAATACGGCACATGTGAAAATGTCCTCCATACATGCTGAATGGCAACATTTTTAGAGCAATTCTCAGCTCCGTGCAATCGAAATTCAAAAACCATGACTAACATTAGTTAAATGTGGGGCTCAACATAAATGAAAGATGATTAACAAAATCATACATATGTTTGCTTCTTATTATATGGCTGAAAATGTGGCATCATACTTATAGTTAATTAAAGGAACTTTTCGGACAAATTTACTCTAGTTTATAAGCCAAAAACAAGACTAGGCAGTTAAGAGTAAAATCAGCCACACACAAACGTAGCTAAGACCAAGGTAGTGCCCCACAATTAAATTTAGATAGACTCAGGTGAAGAAAAAGAAAGAAACTTCAAACCAGGAGGTGACCGGGATTGGCAATTTTGAGCTATCCCGGTCCCGGTCCCGGTCAAATGCTGATTTATTTATTTATGATCCCGGTCCTGGTCCCGGTTGATTCGGGATTCTTGGTCCCGGTCCGGGTCCCGGTCAATCACTCAAATTTGCCGGGATTTTGACCGGGATCTTTTACATAATTTCATTCACTGTGATTTTAAGTTTTTCCTTTCATTCATTGTGAATTTCATCTTTAAACATCCTCTGAGCCAAATACAACAATGTTTAAAATTGCTAAACAAGTTTGAGTAATAAATTATGATCATGAATTAACCAGTAATCGACCGGAATTCCCGGTACCGGGAATCCCAGTACCGGGATTGGCAATTTTGAGCTATCCCGGTCCCGGTCCCGGTCCCGTCACATTTTTCATCCCGGTCCCGGTCCCAGTAAATTGATAATCTCAATTTTGAGCTATCCCGGTCCGGTCCCGGTCCCGGTCAAGTCACATTTTGTATCCAGGTCCCGCTCCCGCTCCCGGTCAGGCCTGAAATCATGTCCTGGTCACCTCCTGCTTCAAACAAAATAATAGACTCAGCTGAATGATCGGAAAACGATGATTGAGGATTAAACGATAATTACCACTGCCAAAAGAATCTGAATATTGCAAGGAAACACTGCATTTTTGTATTGTAAATCCATGAAGGGAAGGGTTAACAAATTAAATCAAATCAAGAATAATGACATAGACATCATCAAAACCTTTTTAATTTTTTCCTTATTTCTACATTTGACATTATCAGAACTGAGAACATTTCACAGCTTTCGTAATTAAAAACAAACAAATTTTGACATATTTGTCATTAAAATAACTTATTTACATTAACAAATACTTTAATAATTAGCTATTTTAAATTTTATTTTAAGATTTAAGATTTTATTTCATAGCTAATGATAACAATTTCATTTTCTGTAAACATGCATACAAACATGACAACATAATCAAATTCTGTATATCCACATAAATTTAATTGACGATGTCAATCCTTCGCAGCTTGGTGTGGCCCAGTTAAGTGACGTTTACTTGCTCTAACCATGCAGAGTCCTTTATTTCGCTTGCAGTAGCGCGCGACCGCCGAAGGCGGCAAAGGAGACACATAAATCAAATCAAAGCACTCGATTTTGAACCAACATTTTATTTACCAATTTCATGATTTTGAGTAGTACGCGGCGTAAATGTATTAAAAACATAAATATCTGCAGTATGCCTTGACGCGGATAATACTCATTTAAATTTCTTCAAATTAGCACGAAAAATTTCACTGAATTCTGAGTGAGAAGTGATACTTGCCTGTTATTCCCACTTACTGACTGATAATCTTATCTATGGATACCATGCTTGAATTTAGGTAAACAACATAGCACTTCCTTACCAGTCACGTTGAACGCGCACAGCATTGCGCGTTGATACTCTAAATAATATACTGTGCGCGTTTCGTCCGGAACCTGGGGGAGTTCCCGCTCTAATATATCTGACGACAGTGATCACTCATTATGAGAACTAATCCCGACCACTTTCCCGGTCGAACAGTACCCAAATCAAACTAATTTATGAACCACGTGTATAGCCAACGTCCTTGCGGTGCTGAGCCGATGTAAAACTCTTCTGTCTCTTGTTAATATTTTAGTTGAACTGTGCATAAAAGTGTGTAGTGACAAGTGTGTAGTGGTAATGTATATTATTTATTATGACGACGCGATATTTATAATGCAGAATTAAAAGCTGCTTTCGATATGACTGGTGGTGGGCTCTCTCCGGCGGGACATAGATCTATATAGGGGGTACCCGGGGTACGAGTTAACGAACAGTGTTCGTGTCCTTCCACAACCCCCTGTTTGATTGAAATAAATTTTCGTGCACATACAGAATGAATGGTTAATAATTTAATATATATGTAGACCAAGGTCTGTGCACGGGATGCTTCCTGGAAGAATCCAGTTCTTTTAGCGGGGCACCCGACCTAAAGCCAAA